TCTACTAAAAATACAAAAAAATTAGCTGGGCATGGTGGCGGGCACCTGTAGTCCCAGCTACTCTATGTCCTCCAAATAGAGAGAGAGAGAGAGAGAGAGAAAAAAAAAAAATGAGAATAAAAACTGGAATAGTTGGAGAAATCTATGTGGAAAAGGCAATCCTAAATCACGTATTAAAAATAAGGGCCAAGCGCGGTGGCGGCTAACACCTGTAATCCCGGCACATTGGAAGGATGAGGCGGGCAGATCATGAGTTCAGGAGATCGAGACCATCATGGCTAACACAGTGAAACCCCATCTCTACTAAAAATACAAAAAATTAGCCAGGCATGGTGGCACACGCCTGTAGTCTCGCTACTCAGGAGGCTGAGATAGGTGAATCGCTTGAACCCAGGAGGTGGAGGTTGCAGTGAGCCGAGATCACGCCACTGAACTCCAGCCTGGGCAACAGAGCAAGACTCTGCCCCCCGCCAAAAAAAGATTTCCATTTCTAGCCATGAAAGTAAAACAGGGATCAGAGTTCCACTCCAACCTTAAATGCCTAGAACATCAGATAAACGGAAGAATCAAGGGTTTTCAGATACTGAACAATAGACAACACAGGACATTGATCCCTGAAAGAAGACCAGCAAATTATGTGAGCTGTAGGAGTGCCCCAACTCACCACCTTCTGAGAGGTGCCATGGCTAATCCCAATGGACAGGGAGCACAGCAAAGCCAGGTGGCCTTGCAGAATCGAGGGGACAGAGTGTGGTTCTAAGGCAGGAGGCTGGAGTTGGCATGGATGCTTCCTGGAGATAAGGAGGCCAAGCCAGAGACAGAGAGAGTGATTCATAGACCAGCCTGAACACGGCGAAACCGTCTCTACTAAAAATTAGCTGGGCATGGTGGTGCACACCTGTAATTCCTCCTACTCAGGAGGCTGAGGCAGGAGAACTGCTTGAACCCTGAGGGGAGTGGAGGTTGCAGTGAGCTGAGATCGCGTCACTGCACTCCAGCCTGAGTGACAGAAGGAATGAGTCTCTGCCTGAATCTTTGAACACTGCTTTGTGCATGTGTATAAAGAAACTACTCAAACTGGGGGGTGGGGAGTGGGCATCCCTATCCTTCCCAACCTGGTTCACTGTTCTAATGGTAGGGGTGGAGGATCATTCTAGGTAAACATTGAAGTGGTGATCAAAGTCTTCCCTAAAGTGTTCCCCTTCAGTGATATCCAACTGTCCCCCTACTCACTGGCAAATCTGTATTTACCTGGAACACCAACCCCAGATCTTTTTTTCTTTTCAGGCAGCATCTCCCTCTGTCACCCAGGCTGGAGTGCAGTGGCATGATCAGAGATCACTGCAGCCTTGACCTCCTGGGTTCAAGTGATCCTCTTACCTCAGCCTCCTGAGTAACTGGGACCACAGGCATGCCTCGCCATGTCCAGCTCATTTTAAAAAATTACTTTTTGTAGAGATGGGGTCACCCTATATTGAGAAAGCAAGTCAGGGTCTTGCTCTCTCACCCAAGCTGGAATACAATTGTGCAAATATAGCTCACTGCAGCCTCCAGCTCCTGAGCTCAAGCAATTCTCCTGCCTCAGCCTTTCAAGTAGCTAAGACGACAGGTGTGCACACTATGCCTGGCTTATTTTGTTTTCCTGTGTGTGTATGTAGAGATGGGGTCTTGTTATGTTGCCCAGGTTGATCTCAAACTCCTGGCCTCAAGAAATCCTCTCACCTAGGCCTCCCAAAGTGCTGGGATCACAGGCATGAGGCACCACACCCAGTCTGAGCCCGAATCTTCCTATGTCTATACTGCTTTCCCTACAAATGCAAGAACCTAAAAATACATTCAGCCCAAAGCTATATCCTGACCACAAATACATAAAAACCACCATAAACACAACTATGGCCTTCTCCATTCAGTATTGGGGACTGAAATATTTGTTGTTGTTGTACACATAATATTTTATTAGTTCCTAATAATGATGCTGTGAATGCAGGATGGTAAATGTTGCCTACTTTAAGAAACCCAGTACCCAGAGACATTATTAACTTTCCAAATTCGCACAGCAAGATAATGGGAGAAGTGGAACCAGAATTCCACTTCTCTTAAGTAGTACTTAAGTTGATTCTTCTCATGAAATCTAAAATAAACTTGTAGGCTGGGTGCAGTGGCTCACACCTGTAATCCCAGCACTTTGGGAGGCCAAGGTGGGTGGATCACTTGAGGTCAGGAATTTGAGACTAGCCTGGCCAACATGGTGAAACCCCGTCTCTACTAAAAATACAAAAATTAGCCAGGTGTAGTGGTGCACTCCCAGCTACTATTATTTAGCACGTGCTGTGTCAGACATCGCAGAGTACCTGGGAAGCAACAATAAATAGAACTCTTTCTCTCTCCTGAGCCCACAGTCCAGTCAAATAGAGGCAAAGAAATAATGACAGTGCCTGGCGAGAACGCTGGGAGAGCCAGGTTCGGGCTGCAACAGGGGCAGAGCACGGGGAAGCCTCCCTCAGCCTGGAGCAGGCGGGGTAAACCTCCCCACAGCGGGACAGCTGTGAGGAGACTCGGCCAGTGAACAGAAATCTTTTCAGTCATGCATCGTGTGACTCACGCTCGTATTCCCAGTACTTTGAGAGTCCGAGGTGAGAATCACTAAGGCCAGGAGCTCAAGATCAGCTTGAGAGCGAGACTCCATCTCTACAAAAAAAAAAAAAAAATTTTTTTGAGACGGAGTCTCGCCCTGTCACCCAGGCTGGAGTGCAATCGCGCAATTTCGGCTAACTGCAACCTCTGTCCAGCTAATTTTTTGTATCTTTAGTAGAGACAGGCTTTCACCATGTTAGCCAGGCCAGTCTCGAACTCCTGACATCGTGATCTGCCCACCTCAGCCTCCCAAAGTGCTAGGACTACAGGTGTGAGTCATGGCGCCTGGCCCCCAAAATTTTAAAAATAGGCTGCCCATGGTGGTTCATGTCTGTTGTCCCAGCTACTCAGGAGGCTGAGGTGGGGGAATCACTTCAGCCCAGGGGTTTAAGGCCACAGTGAGCTATGATGACACCACTGCACTCCAGCCTGGACAACAGAATAAGATCCTGTCAAAAACCAAAAAAAAAGGCTAGCACAGTGGATCACACCTCTAACCTCAGCCCTTTGGGAGGCCAAGGCAGGAAGATCAATTGAGTCCAGGAATTCGAGACCAGCCTGGGCAACATAGTAAGAACCTATCTCCAAAAACATAAACAAAAAGAAAAGGATATTTTAGTTGGTGATTATTGTGTGGAAAAGAGAGATCAGACTGTTACCGTGTCTATGTAGAAAGAAGTAGACATAAGAGACTCCATTTTGTTCTGCATTTGAGATGCTGTTAATCAGTGACCCTACCGCCAACCTTGTCCTTACAAGAGACACGTGCTGTGGTGACTCAAGGTTTAAAGGATTTTGGGCTGTGCAGGGTGTGCTTTGTTAAACAAGTGCCTGAAGGCAGCTTGCTGGTTAAAAGTCATCACCATTCTCTTAATCTCAAGTACCCAGGGATGCGTACACTGCCAAAGTTCGCAGGGACCTCTGCCTAGGAAAGCTAGGTATTGTCCAAGGTTTCTCCCCATGTGATAGTCTGAAATATGGCCTCATGGGAAGGGAAAGACCTAATCGTCCCCCATCCTGACACCCGTGAAGGGTCTGTGCTGAGGAGGACTAGTATAAGAGGAAAGAAGGCCTCTTGGCAGTTGAGATAGAGAAAAGCATCTGTCTCCTGCCCGACCCTGGGCAATGGAACATCTTGGTGTAAAACCCGATTGTATGTTCTGTTTACTGAGAAAGGAGAAAACCGCCTTAGGGCGAAAGGTGGGACTTGCTAACCAATGCTGCTCTTCATCCACTAAAAAGGTTTATGGAGATGTTTGCATATGCGTATCAAGGCACAGCACTTTTCCTTAAACTTATGTCAGAGATCTTTATTCATATGTCTTACTGTTGACCTTCTCCCTATGATGATCCTATTATCCTGCCACTTCCCTTTTTCTAAGATGGTAAAGATAATTATCAATAAATACTAAGGGAACTCAGAGACCGGTGCCAGCGTGGGTCCTCTGTATGCTGAGCGCCGGTCCCCTGGGCCCACTTTTTCTTTCTCTATACTTTGTCTCTGTGTCTCATTTCTTTTCTCAAGTCTCTCATTCCACCTAATAAGAAACGCCCACAGGTGTGGAGGGGCAGGCCACCCCTTCAATTATGGTGCCAACACGGGCATTCCAGGCAGAAGAAACAGCTTAAGCAAGAGCAGGAGAGCAACGAGGGCAGTGGAAACAGATCAGTGGCTGGGAGTGAGGAGAGAAGAGGATGAAAATCCAGGCGAGAGCAGAGGACACTGAGTGTCCTGACCAGGGATTACGGCTTTGTCCTGTGGGCCTGGGGGAGCCAATCACAGGACTCCCAAATTTTAATCTGTGGCCGGGCACAGTGGCTCACACCTGTAATCCCAGTGCTTTGTGAGGGTGAGACAGGAGGAACACTTGAGCCCAGTAATCAAGATCAGCTTGGGCAACACAGCAAGACCCCATCTCTATGAAAGTAAAAAAATTAGCCAGGCGTGTTGGCATGTGCCTATGATCCCCGCTACTCAGGAGGCTGAGGTGGCAGCATCGCTTGGGCCCAGGAAGTTTAGGTTGCAGTAGCAGTGATCACACCACCACACTCCAGCCTGGGTGACAGAGAGAGACCCGGTCTCAAAAGCAAACAAATACAAATTTGGATTTTTTAGAAAGACCACTTGGGCATGGGTGATAGGAGGCTGTCTGGAAACAAGGCTGGTAAGGAGGCCACCTCTGAGGACCAAGCGAGTGGGACAGAGGCCTGGCTGCTGGCAGGAAGGGAATATGGACGGGACAGAGGGAGGTGAGCCCAAAGCTGAAGAGAGGGGAACAGTGCAGTGGGCGCAGGGCAGGCCGGGGGAGGCGAGTGACATCTCTGTCCCGAGATAACACATAAGCAGAAAGTTCAATAGCACTTACCTAATGAAACCCTGCAATCATTTCCGCTCTGTACTTGCTCTGAATAATGGGTTTCTGAAACATCTTTCACCACTTCTCAAACTGGGTGGCCAGCTGCAGCTGAATCAACTCCAGGTGCCTGTAGTCATGATACCAAGAGTAGCAGCTGTTCACACAGATCACATCCACATACGGAGCCTAGGACCAGAGCAGGAGAGCCCGTTCAGCACCCAGAAGACTGCATGATTCAGAACTCACATGCTTTGGGGGCTCTTCTGGCAGAGAAGGTAAGAAGAGGATGTAATCGAGGCACTCAGGGAGGCTGAGGCAGGAGGATGGCTTGAGGCCAGGAGTTCGAGACCAGCCTGAGCAACACATCAAGACCTCAGCTCTAAAAGTATAGTAGTAAGACAATTAATAGGGCACAGTAGCTCATGCCTGTAATCCCAGCACACTGGGAGGCCAAGGTGGGAGGATCGCTTCAGCACGGAAGTTTGAGACCAGCCTGGGCAACATCGCATGACCCCATTTCTACAAAACATACAAACAAAAAAACTAGAAGAGGAAGAGCTGCCTCTCGGGACTGAGAACATCCAAGTTCGCCAATTTAGATCCTGAAATTACCCTGCCCCACAGGCAGGAAACGGTCACAAAGTAGCCCAAAGGAGGCAGGCCTGTGACTCTGCACTGACGTGCGCAGCTGAAAAGGACTGTGAGAGGCAGAGCAGCTGCCAACGCGCAGTCCTCAGCCAAAGCCGAGGGCCCCCGCCACTGGAGCTGACTCCTCTCCAGGCAGCAGTCCCATCACTGGGACTTGCCCTGGACTTACCTTGCCCTGGAGAAGCGCTCCAACCTGAGGGGCCGATGCAGTCATTCTCACAGAAAATCTTTTTCTGTTTTGTTTTGGATACAGAGTCTCACTCTGTTGCCCAGGCTAGAATGTAGTGTCATCATCTCGGCTCACTGCAACCTCTGCCTCCCACAATCAAGTGCTTCTCATGCCTCAGCCTCCCAGGTAGCTGGGATTACAGGTGCGTGCCACCACATCCAGCTAATTTTTTGTATTTTTTGTAGAAACAAGGTTTCACCAGCTGGCTGGTCTGGTCTCTAACTCCTGACCTCAAGTGATCCACCCGCCTTGACCTCCCAAAATGTTGGGATTGCAGGTGTAAGCCACTATGCCCGGCCATCACAGAGAATCTTTTTTTCTTTTTTTTGAGACAGACTCTTGCTCTGTCGCCCAGGCTGGAGTGCAGTGGCCGGATCTCAGCTCACTGCAAGCTCCGCCTCCTGGGTTTACGCCATTCTCCTGCCTCAGCCTCCTGAGTAGCTGAGACTACAGGCGCCCGCTGCCTTGCCCGGTTAGTTTTTTGTATTTTTTAGTAGAGATGGGGTTTCATCGTGTTATCCAGGATGGTCTCGATCTCCTGACTTGGTGATCTGCCCATCTCAGCCTCCCAAAGTGCTGGGATTACAGGCTTGAGCCACTGCGCCCGGCCCATCACAGAGAATCTTGAGGCAGCTTTCATAAGGCGGCACTGTGGGCTGCAGAGGGCCTGAAAGAGTCCCACCTAGGAGCGGGGCAGAGATGACCAAGTAGGACCACCATCAGCTTCAGCAAACTGGTGCTCAGGGCTGAGCAGCAGATGCTTCTGTGTCCAACTGGCTAGTTTCTAATGCGTCCTGAACACACTACTTTCTAGTAAGAATGCTGGCTGGGTGCGGTGGCTCATGCCTGTAATCCCGGCACTTTAGAAGGCCAAGGTAGGTGGATCACCTGAGGTCAGGAGTTCGAGACAAGCCTGGCCAACATGGCAAAATCCTGTCTCTACTAAAAAATATAAAAATTAGGCAGGCGTGGTATCGTGTGCCTGTAATCCCAGCTACACTGGAGGCCGAGGCAGGAGAATTGCTTGAACTCGGGCAGAGGAAGTTGCAGTAAGCCAAGATTGCACCATTGCACTACAGCCTGGGCAACAGAGCAAGACTCCATCTCCAAGAAAAAAAAAAAAAAGAATGCTAATGTCAGCCAGGCATGGCAGCTTGTGTCTGTAATCCCACCACTTTGGGAGGCCAAGGCTGGAGGATCACTTGAGCTCAAGAGTTTGAGACCAGCCTGGGCAATATAGTGCAATCCCATCTCTGCAAAAAGATCTAAAATTAGCCCAGCACACCTGAAGTCCCAGTTACTCGGGAGGATGAGGCGGGAGGATGAGGCAGGAGTATCTCTTGGGCCCAGTAATTCAAGGCTACAGTGAGCTGTGATTGCACCACTGCACTCCAGCCAGGGCAACAGAGTAAGACCTTGCCTCTACAGAAGAAAAAGAAAAATGCAGGCTCCAACTTTGGAGTTACTGAATCAGGATCTCAGAATGCAGAGATCTGCCATTTCGAAAAAAATTCCCCTAGAGATTCTGAACATCCAGGTGTGGGCCAGATGAACTCTAAGCCCCCTTAAACCTTTGACATTCTATGACTCTATTAAATCAAAGTGCAAAAAACGCTGAGTCCAAACTGAGCAAACAAATCCCATCTCCCTATGCCCAGCCTCCCTGAATTCAGAAAGCCACCTGCCTGGCGAGTAAGCAGGGAGAGAATTCTCATTAACCCAAAGACCATCTATGAAAAAAGACTGGCTGCAGCTGAGTGCGGTGGCCGACACCTGTAACCCCAGCCCTTTGGGAGGTTGAGGCAGGAGGATCGCTTGAGCCCAGGAGTTCGAGACCAGTCTGGGCAACATGGCAAGACCTTGTCTCTATCTTTTCAAGTAAAAAAACAAAATAAAAAATCCCTGGCTGGCAGCTCATGGTCCTTTCCAGCTGTTCCCATGAGCAGACTTCAGGACAAGCCCAGGCAAAGGTGGGGAAAAATGGGGTAGGGACCCCCAGGCTGACCCCTTTGTCCGCTGCATAGTTGGAGTTGGTCACAAAGGTCACAGGCCGGGAGGGGTCCAAGGCTTTGGCGTGAGCAATCACCATCCTGTCCACAGAAGGCAGAAGACACAGGTTCCGTCAGTCCAGGAAGGGCTCGAACACCCTCCCATCCTCCCCCATCAGAACACAACACGGGGCCAGGCACGATGGCTCACACCTTTAATCTCAGCAGTTCGGGAGGCCAAGGCGGGTAGATCACTTGAGGTTGGGAGTTCAAGATCAGCCTGGCCAACATGGCAAAACCCTGTCTCTACTACAAATACAAAAATTAGCCAGGCATGGTGGCACATATCTGTTTAACACCAGCTACTTGGGAGGCTGAGGCATAAGAATTGCTTGAACCCAGGAGGTGAAGGTTGCTGTGAGCCAGGATCACACTGCAGTCCAGCCTGATCCATAGAGCCGGGTCCATAGAGCCCTGTCTCAAAACAAACAAAAGAAAACACACACACACACACACACACACACACACACAAAGCATAAAGCCACTGCTTTCTTCCCTAACTTGAGATGTATTTTACATAAGGGCACATGATCCTCTAGTCCTAGACCGAGCTCTCTAACATCACTCTTTCTCCCCCCGCCTCCGAATCCTATCCCCCCAGAGGAGATCCACCCTTCCAGGCACACAGAGCTGAGGTCAGTGGGCTGGACACTGCCAAAAATGAGGTTGACTCCCTGAAACAGCTCTTGAACACAGGAGTGGATGGTTGCAGATTTGGGTGGGATATTTATTAATGCATCAAGCAAACAGGGAGTGCAGACTCTCAGATGGGAAGTTTCAAAGCCTGTGACAGCCTGGCTGAACCTCTCCAGGCTGGGCGGCTCCCTCCAATTCCTGCCCCAGCAAACAGACATCTCCTCTGGCCACCTCCCAAAGAAGCCTGTCTGTCAGGCACCTGCTCCTGGAAGCCTGTGCTCTTCACCTTCGCAACAAAGGTCCTGTCCACCCAGTCCTGCTGAGCACACCCCTGTGCCCCAGAGCTCTGAACTGTTCTTTGTCCAGGCTGGGACGACTTCTCAGAGCCTTCTGCCTACTGCAGACTTGGCTCAGCCCAAAGCACTCCATGAAATCGGGGTGTAGTGTCTGCTTCAAGGAGCATTTCCAAAACCTCTACTGCCTCTGCTGCAAGTGAAAAATCTACCTCTGAATGCTGAGTTAGAACTGCATGATTGTAAGGAATAAAGGGGGCCCGGGCACGGTGGCACACACCTGTAGTCCCAGCACTTTGGGAGCTGAGGCAGGTGGATCACTTAAGGCCAGGAGTTCAACGCCAGTCTGGCTAACATGGTGAAACCCCGCCTCTACTAAAAATACAAAAATTAGCCGGGCACAGTGCCTCATGCCTGTAATCCTAGCACTTTGGGAGGCCAAGGCAGGTGGATAACCTGAGGTCAGGAGTCCAAGACCAGCCTTGCCAACATGGTGAAACACAGTCTCTACTAAAAAATGCTAAAGTTAGCTGGGCATGTTGGCATTAGTGTTGTGGTGCGATCTCGGCTCACTACAACCTCTGCCTCCTGGGTTCAAGCGATTCTCCTGCCTCAGCCTTCTGTGTAGCTGGGATTAGAGGCATGCATGAGCCACTGCACCTGGCCTGTGCAACAGAGCAACACCCTGTCTCAAAAAGAAAACACACACATACACAGACACAAACAGAAAACAAAACAGAATAGCATCATTTCCTTATCATTAGCTTGAAGGAAGTGAATTGCCTGTAAAAGTTTCCATTTTCAAAAAAAGCATTAAAATACAGTGTAATCCCCGCACTTTGGGAGGCTGAAAAGGATTGCCTGAGCCCAGGAGGTGCAGCCTCCACCTCCTGGACTCAAGCGATCCTCCCACCTCAGCCCTACAAGCAGCAGGGACTACAAGCGCGTGCCACCATGCCCAGCTAATTTTTTGTATTTTTGTAGGGACAGGGTTTCACCATGTTGCCCAAGCTAGTCTGGAACCCCTGAGCTCAAGCGATCCACCGCCACGGCCTCCCAAAGTATGGGATTACGGGCGTGAGCCACTGGGCCCGGCCCAATTACTTCCTTCAGTCTGAGCATGAGCGCCGGAAGAAAAGCTCTCACTTGCATGTAAGTTTTGAGACACAGAGTATCCTTCTGTCACACAGGCTGGAGTGCAACGGCGCAATCTCATCTGATTGTAACCTCAACCTCCCGTGCTTGATCTTTTATATAATCTCGGCTCACTGTAATCTCAACCTCCCGGGCTCGATCGCATACGCGCGCGCGCGCGCACACACACACACACACACACACACTTGTTTAGACAAAGTCTCGGTCACACACACACACACACACTTGTTTAGACAAAGTCTCGGTCTGTCGCCCAGGCTGGAGTGCAGTGGTGTGATCTCGGCACACTTCAACCTCCGCCTCCCGGTCCGGGTTCAAACAATTCTCTGCCTCAGCCTCCCGAGTAACTGCGATTACAGGCGCCCGCCACCACGCCCGGCTAATTTTTGTACTTTTAGTAGAGACGGGGTTTCACCATGCTGGCCAGGCTGGTCTTGAACTCCTGACCTCGTGATCCACCCGCCTCGACCTCCCAAAGTGCTGGGATTACAGGCGTGGGCCACCGCGCCCGACCGATCGCTTATATTTTTAAAAAGATGTTTTCTTCGTTTTCTAGCCCCTTTTACACCGCTACAAAGTTTCAAAGGCTTAATGCGATTACAACGGCCCCTGAGAGGTCGAGCTCGGCGATGCAGCTCCCTAATGCGGGGGCAACCTCAGAGGGGGCCTACCCTGCCCAGGATGAGCCGCGCCAGGTGGCGGGGGACGCTCCCGGGGTCCTCGGGCCCTGGCTGGGGGAGGTGTTGTGGGATGCACGTACCCGGGATCAGGTGAGGCGAGTGCACGGCGGAGGCTGCAGCTGCCGCTGGCCATTGAGGAGCTTCTCCGCAACGGGCCCGCCAGGAGCCGGCCGGTTGGGGCGCAGCGCCTGCTCGTGACGCGTCTGGTCCTTGCTACGCCCGGCCCTGCAGGCGGGGAAGTCGTAAAGCTCCTCCCGGTAGCTTATGGGCGGCGGCAGCCGGGCCGAAGCTTGCAGACACAAAAAGGCCAGCTCAGCTGCCGGTTATATCCCCCCGGCGGCCTGTGGCCAGTCGCCCGCGCACGAGCCTCCTGGAAGACCTGCAGCCCCGCCGCCAGTTCCGATCGGCTCCGCGTGAGTAGCGGGCTTCTGCGACGTCACAAGCGCGCGCCTTCGGTGACGTCACAAGGATGGGCCTTGGGGCGACGTCACAGGCTGGGGTGTTCGGCGGTGTCACGGAGTTGGTAGTGTCAGTAGCTGAGCAGTTTTCTCCTGAGAGTGGAGCCTGGTAACCGCGACCTCCCCTCCAGGTCCTGTGTGGTGCTGGCTGGAGAAGGGTAGTTGACAAACTCTGACCCAGCGCAGTGTTTATATCGGTCAAAAATACAAAAATATGTCCAGGCGCGACCAAGGCGGGAGGATCCCTTCAGGCCACGAGCAGTCTAGCAACATGGCGCGACCCTGTCTCAGTAGTCCTAGCTCAGCCCCCCAGCTACTTGAACCCCAAGGTTCAAGGCTCCAATGAGCTATGGTCCCACCACAGCATTCCAGCCTGCGAGACTGAGGTAAACCCTGTCTAAAAACGTAAAAAAAAACACCTAAGTGTGCAACAGGGAGGGACTGCCAAATAAAACTGCCATCCCAGTACTTTGGGAGGCCGAGGCGGGAGGATGGATGGCTTGGGCTCAGGAGTTCTAGACCAGGCTGGGCAACATGAAGAAACCTCGTCTATACAAAAGATACAAAAATTGGCCGGGGGCGGTGCTCACGTGGCCTAATTTTTGTAATTTTTGTAGAGATGGGGGTCTCGCTGTGTTGCCCAGGCCAGTTTCGAGCTCCTGGGTTCAAGCGGTCTTCTCACCTTGGCCATCAGAGTCGTCAGGATTACAGGCGTGAGGGACTGTGCCCCGCCTGGGTTAGGCTGTTTAATAACAAGAAAGTGCTTGGCCAGGCTCGGTGGCTCAAGCCTGTAATCCCAGCACTTTGGGAGGCCGAGGTGGGTGGATCACCTGAGGTCAAGAGTTTGAGACCAACCTGGCCATGGTGAAACTCAGTCTCTACAAAAAGTACAAAAATTAGCCGGGTGTGGTGGCACATGCCTGTAGTCCCAGCTACTCCTTGAACCCAGAAGGCGGAGGTTACAGTGAGCCGAGATTGCACCACTGCACCCCAGCCTAGGCAACACAGCGAGACTCCAAAGTATGACACCAGCCTGGGCAATGTAGTGAAACCCTGTCTCTACAAAACAAAAAACCCAGGTGTAACTGTGTCCACCTGTGGCCCAGGCTACGTAGGAGGCTGAGGCAGGAGGACCACTTGAGGCCAGGAATGAAAGCATGTCTCTAGATAGTTAACTAGCTAGCTAGCTATATATGTAGTTTTCAATTTTTTCCCCTAGATTTGAACATGTTTTTCTAAAAGTAGCATTCAACACATCAGCATTTTACAGTGTTATAGTTGTTAATATGATTCTGTTTTTCTGAAATACAGTATCCTTCACAAGCAGTTTTGTCTTTCAAAGTACATAGATAGGTCCTCAAGTGAATTTGTCTGATGTTGGCGACCTTGGTACCATTTTCTCCAGTTGACTGGAATAGTCAGTCAATAATTCAGTTACTGTTGGCCTGAGAAGAAGAGCCCAAAGGCAACAAGCAAATGTGCTGGTGTCCAATCACCTTCTAGAAACATTTTCACTTCCTGTAAGGTTTCCCTTGTGAACATAGAAGTAGTGTATGTAGAACTGACCCAGTGCTGGCTGTGGCAACTTCGTATATTAGGCCAAATTTACATTTCTTACCTTTGTGAGAGGCACCCTGGTAGGCTAGTGGAGTTACACACGAAGTCTGATCTCAGCTGCACTGTCCAGAGATACAACATGGTCCAATCAAATACATTCTCTGAGCCTGTTTCTTAAGCTGTAAAATAAGAATAACAATTATACCTGTCTAAAAAAAGACAGCTTATTGTATTTGAGTGGTCTTTTATTTTCTACGAAGCTGTGTTTAACACGGTAATTATTTTTATTTCCGTACCACATTTGTGTTTTGTTTTGCTTTTCTTTTTGTTTTGAAATGGGGTTTGTTTTTGTTTTTTTTTGAGATGGAGTTTTGCTGTTGTCTCCCAGGCTGGAGTGCAGTGGCAAGATCTCCGCTCACTGCAACCTCCACCTCCCAGGGTCAAGCGATTCTCCTGCCTCAGCCTCCTGAGAAGCTGGGATTACAGGTGCCCACCACCACACCCAGCTAAATTTTTATATATATATATTCTTAGTAGAGATGGGGTTACATCATGTTGCCCAGGCTTGTCTCAAACTACTGATGTCAAGTGATCCACCGGCCTCTGCTTCCCAAAGTGCTGGGATTACAGGCGTGAGCCACCACACCTGGCTTGTTTTTAAATAAGGGTTTCTTGGCCAGGTGCGGTGGCTCACGCTTGTAATCCCAGCACTTTGGGAGGCCAAGGTGGGTGGATCACTTGAGGTCGGGAGTTGAAGACCAGCCTGACCAACGTGGAGAAACCCTGTCTCTACTAAAACTACAAAATTAGCCGGGCATGGTGGTGCATGCCTGCTATCCCAGCTACTCGGGAAGCTGAGACAGGAGAATTGCTTGAACCCAGGAAGTGGAGGTTGCAGTGAGCCGAGATCGCACCGTTGCACTCCAGCCTGGGCAACAAGAGCAAAAGTCCCGTCTCAAAATTAAAAAAAAAAAGATTTTTTAAAATGATATTTTCGGCCGGGGGCGGTGGCTCAAGCCTGTAATCCCAGCACTTTGGGAGGCCGAGACGGGTGGATCACGAGGTCAGGAGATCGAGACCATCCTGGATAACACGGTGAAACCCCGTCTCTACTAAGAAATACAAAAAACTAGCCAGGCGAGGTGGCGGGCGCCTGTAGTCCCAGCTACTCGGGAGGCTGAGGCCGGAGAATGGCGTGAACCCGGGAGGTGGAGCTTGCAGTGAGCTGAGATCCGGCCACTGCACTCCAGCCTGGGCTACAGAGCGAGACTCCGTCTCAAAAAAAAAAAAAAAAAAATGATATTTTCAGTATTTTATAGATATGTGAGCAGCAATCTTAATAGGACGTTACCTGACACTTTGCGGGACTAGGCAATGACAGAGGCAGCTGATTTGATCCAGATGTCTAATTTATTTTTTTTCTTTTTTTTTTTTTTTTTTTTTTTTTGAGACAGTCTTGCTCTGTCACCCAGGCTGGAGTGCAGTGGCACGATTTTGGCTCACTGCTACTGCCATCTCCCAGGTTCAACCGATTTTTCTCCCTCAGGATCCCGAGTAGCTGGGATTACAGGCACATGCCACCAGGCCAGGCTAATTTTTGTATTTTTGATAGAGACAGCAGTTCACCATGTTGGCCAGTCTGGTCTCGAACTCCTGACCTCAGGTAATCTACCTGCCTCAGCCTCCCAAAGTGTTGGGATTACAGGCATGTGCCACTGTGCCTGGCCCAGATGTCTCTAATTTTAACAAGAGATGTATTGCAGGCTCATAGCAGATTGAGTTGCTGGTGTATCCAGAAGGAAGTAAGCATGGAACTCAGGATAGCTGTCCTGAGTAGTGTGTGTGTGCTGTGCTTGAATATCTCACTGCTCATTTATACACAGGCTTTGTTGTGACCGAGTCAGCAGTATCTGTTTCATAAATAATGTAGCTTGCTTGCTTTCTTGCTTGCTTTCTCTCTTTCTTTTTTTTTTTTTGAGACAGGGTTTTACTCTGTTACCCAGGCTGAAGCGTAGTGGTGTGATCACAGCTCACCGCAACTTCAGCCTCCCAGGTTCAAGCAATTCTCCTGCCTCAGCCTCCCAAGTAGCTGGGATTACATGTGCCACCACTCTTGGCTAATTTTTGTTCTCTTTTTTTTTTTTTGAGACGGAGTTTCACTCTTGTTGCCCAGGCTGGAGTGCAATGGTGCGATCTTGACTCACCGCAACCTTTGCTTTTCGGGTTCAAGCGATTCTCCTGCCTCAGCCTCCCAAGTATCTGGGTTTACAGGCATGCGTCACCATGCCCAGGTAATGTATTTTTTAGTAGAGACAAGGTTTCTCTATGTTGGTCAGGCTGGTCTCAAACTCCTGACCTCAGGTGATGTACCTGCCTTGGCCTCTCAAAGTGCCGGCATCACAGGTGTGAGCCACCGCTCCTGGCCTAATTTTTGTATTTTTGGTAGAGATGGGGTTTCACCATGTTGGCAAGGCTGGTCTCGAATTCCTGACCTCAAGTAATCAACCTGCCTCGGCCTCCCAAAGTGTTGGAATTATAGGCGTGAACCACCATGCCTGGCCAGCCCTATTTCTTTAAGCCTCCACATTTTGCACTTGTTAAAAGTATTTGAACATACAATTACCAGCTTCCCTTGTTTATGTGTGCTTGAATTTTGTACAATCTTAAATATATTTTTCCAATCTAAGCTTTATTTTACCCCGTTTCTTCTATATTTGTGTAACTTTAGGTGGCTGTCTTCATTGAAAGTTTTTTCTCAAAAGCCTTAAAATAGATTATTGTTCTTGGCAGCAAGTTGAAAGCTATTTGAGGAGGAGACTTATGATGATTCAAATGAAGCAAACTAAAAAGTAATGAAGCAAGACAGAAGAAAAAGCAGTATTCACTTGCACACATCCCAAAAGAATAACATTTCAAATATAACTAGAAAAAAGTATGCTGAAGTTCGCAATACAGAAATAATTATTAATACTCAAAATAGTTTTAAAGCCCTGCTCAGATTTTGAATGTTGGGAATTGACCCGGAGGTGGCTGTAACCTAAGATGGTTCCTTCAGTAATGAGCATATGTTCTTTTTCAAGATGATGATGATTCTCCACCTTCTAAGAGACCAAAGACCGTTGAGACACCACAGCCACCAGTCCCGTAACCTGCCAATGCTGGGCAACAGAGAGTGAGGGAGTTCAACTCTGGTAAGTTCTCAGTGAAATCCACTACCTTTTCCTTCATCTTCTGGACTCTCAGTGTGACTGATGAAAATTACAACATTCTTTGCAGGGGGAAATGTTTTAGCATGTATTACTACATTTTAATCACATCTTTGTAAAGCCAGGAGCATTTTGAAAGTCACATTACAGACATTGTTTAAACATAGTTTGTATTTGCCAAAACATAGGACACTGTGTCATCTCATATTAATTAGTTAGTTGGCTCAAAATTAGTGCTAATGACTTAGTAATTCAATGATTTCTCTTAGCTTTAAAACCCTTTTTATTTCAGAACCATTTCACCTCTTGGTTTTCATTTTTTCTATGTGTCACTGCCTGCCAGCTGCTAATTTATTAACTCCCAGTGAATCATGTGTCCTGTGAAGGGACTGAATGAGATGTTAGTGGCAAATTATGTTGATGATTTGTATTTTGAATAGTTTGAATAAATAGAACATTAAGCTTGTATACATTTTGAAAATAGTATTTTAATATTCTACTGTCATAGTCACAATGATTGGATATATATTGAATTTATATGTACTTTAGGATATATTTTGAATTTGCATGTATATCTGTTAAGTTTTTTTTTTTTCTCCAGGAAAATTAGACTCTGATTTATTGAGGCATCTGTTTGATGCCACGTTAGGTGGCCCAAGCTCTGTGTAGGGGGTGAGGTTAAAGCAAGAAGAAGGGTGGTGAGAGGCAGGGGTGCCAGGTTTAGGTTGGAATACCTGGGGGTACTCTGAGGCTCCCAAAGTTTCCTTGGTCCTGGCCGGCTGTGCTGCTGGCCTGGGTATCTGATGAGCCTGCAAGGGTGACTCCCAAGAGGTGAGTGATCCAGGTAGGGCAGGGACTTTCGAGTCATGCTGTTTGTTGGCTTTGAATCCAGACTCATACACTTGGTAGCTGTGAACTCTCCATGCCTCAGGGACCTGCAGAACTGAGCTCTGTCTGAGCCAGGTTCCATCCAGGCACTGCAGATCCATCCAGAGGGAAACCGCCCCAAGTTGCTCACTATTCAGTGCCTTCTCAAGCAGACCCTTGTCTCCTTCTAGGCCCTCACATGCCAGTGGAGGAGACGAAACTCATCTGCCTCTGTCCCTCTGGGCGCACCTCATGCCGGTGCACCTGTGGACCTGGGCCATGCTCCTGGGCTTCCGAAGTTGGAGAAAGCTGCCAGGCTCAGGTGGGTACCTCAGAGCAGCTGCTGCCCTCTGGACACAGTGACAAAGGAACCCTGTGGGTCTGGAGCCCTGGTCTGGGGCATTGGGCATTGGGCAAGGCTCTTGCACTTCTCTGAGCCCATTTCCCCATCTGGATAGTGTGCTGATTCTATCTCCCTGTGGGCACTGAGGGCTCAGTGTTAGAGAGTCAGCATCTGGGGTTTGGGCTGTAATTCCCCTTCAGCCCCGTAGCTGGGGGGAGCCAGGGACTTTATCGGGATTAACCTAGGTGTCATTCTAGCTTCCTGCCCCTGGCTTGGGTTCAGCATATGAAGTAGTCTAGGCGGCAGGTGGTCCTGGTGGGGGTTGGGGCTTTTCCCCATTCTGAGGTCACACCCAGAGCCAGAAATGTTGGTGCCTGCTCTGGGCAAAGGTGGCAGCCTGTGCGACAAGAGCGAAACTCCGTCTCAAAAAAAAAAAAAAACAAAAAACCTTCCACCATTTCAAGGGGCTCACATCTCCCTAAGGGCCCGGTAATTGGCCTGATCTGGCCTGCACTTGGCCCCCAGGGTGCAGGTAACACCCCACCTTACCTGGCTTCTTTCTGCCAGGGCCAATCTTCAGACCTCAGGACTTTCCAGCCTATCCCACCTCCCTCTCTGGCCAGCCTTGAGCCCTTGTGGGTCCAGCACATTTTCCAGGCTGTCTCCTGGTTGTCCTTCTGCCTCAAGGTCTGGATCATGCTGCTCCCCCTCCCATTCACCAAGACCCACAAGGACCACTCCACACCCAGCTCAGCCCCATCCCCTTGGATAGTCCTTTCTCTTTCCTCAGGTGGCCAGGTGCATATCTTGGTGTCAGGACCTTCACTGCACCTGGGAATGCCTACTGGTCACCTCGGTGACAGAGACCAAGGCATTTACTTGATATGACTACCCTGGTTCACTGTCTACATGGCCAGGGAAGAAGTCAGTAATAGGCTTTTGACTTGCTGAAAGGATCAGTTCTCCTGGCCCCATGGTCTAGGGATGGAGGATGCTGCAGGAGATGCACCCCTCACTTCCCAGCTGAGGACTGTGGGTCATCTCAGGGCAATTTCACAGTCCCCACGTGCCCCACCCCCTCAGCTCTGCAAATACCAAGCAGTGCAGCCTGCCTAGGGGACAGTGGGCTCAGGGGTGCCCAGGTAGTCCCAGAATGCCCTTGGCAGGCCCCTCACCTAGGTGCTCCCACAGCTCTGTAGCAAGAGTTCTAACCTTTTCTGACTGTGGAGCCTGCTGAGAATAAGCTGTGGACTGTTTTCCAGAAAGGCATGTACATGCTCTCCATGCAAAACCTTGCATTGTGGCCAAGCGTAGTGGCTCACGCCTGTGATCCCAGAACTTTGGGAGGCCGAGCCGGTCGGATCACCTGAGGTCAGGAGTTCGAGACCAGCATGCCCAACATGGTGAAACCCCATCTCTACTAAAAATGCAAAAAATTAGGCGTGGCGGCAGCCACCTTACTGGTGGCCTTACACCTTACAGCCTACTCTGGAGGCTAAGGCAGGAGATTCACTTGAACCCGGGAGGCAGAGGTTGCAGTGAGGTGAGATTGTACCACTGCACTCCAGCCTTGGTGACAAGAGCGAAACTCCATCTCCAAAAAAGAAACCTTGCATCCTTTCAGGGGGCTCACACTTCCCTAAGGGCCCGGTAGTTGAACCCCTTGGACCTGAGGGTGAGAAACCTTGCTTCAGTTCTTCCCTGGGTGATCAGCCCAGGGTAAAGAAGAAGCCAAAAAGGAGGACCCATGAGAAGGGCTCCCTCCAGGAGTTTGAGGCCCACTCCCTCCTCCCCTGCCTGTCCTCTGTCCAGGTCTCCTCCCTGCTGTGCCCCTCCTGGGGCCATAACCATTTGGAGCTGTGTTTTTCTACAGGCTTCTGGGCACAAAGTGGGCAGGCTCACCTGGAGGGGATCAGAGTAACATGGCAGGAAATGAGGGGGAAAGCTGCCCTGGAACCGCGCCTCTCTTCCCCCTCATGTCACTGGGGTGCACTCCTCCCTCACCTCACTCAGGCAGTGACATGGGTTCCATGTGAGTGCTGTCCTGCTTCCTCTGCTGCCTGTTTTTTTCCTTAGGGCTATCATAAAACTTTCTCTTTCCCAGCTCTGCCAATCTGGTGGGACATTGGGCTTCCCTCTCACAGGGTCCTGGGGACAGGCCCATCCTGTATCATACCTGCAGAGAGACCCTGTTTTTCTCCAGGGCCTGGGGAGCAGCCAGGTTCCATGAGTGAAACACAGATCTGAACCATACCAAGCTGGGGTTGGGGTCCACACTCCTCTACTGAGAAGGAGCTAGGGATTCCAGCTAGGTGAGAGGGAGAGTGGGCAGAGCCAGACCAGACCAGGACTGATCCCCTGGAAAAAGCCTGCCTTGGTGAGTGCTGGGTGCGGTGGCTCACTCCTGTAATCCCAGCAGTTTGGGAGGCTGAGACAGGTGGATCACTTGAGGTAAGGCGTTCAAGTCTAGCCTGGGCAACATGGCAAAACCCCATCTCTACTAAAAATACAAAAATTAGCTAGGCGTACTATGTTCCTGTAATCCCAGCTACTCAAGAGGCTGAGGCAGGAGAATTGCTTAAACTGGGGAGGCAGAGGTCAAAGTGAGCCGAAATTGTGCCACTGCACTCCAGTCTGGGAGACAGAGTGAAACTGTGTCTCAAACAAAAACAAAAACAAAAACAAAAAACACCATAATATGGCTTTGGCAGAGAGCCTGGCCCGGCAGTGCCTTCCCTTGGGTTTCTCCTGGGTAGGCCTCTGCCAGGAGGAGGCGCTTCGTTTTGCCTGTCCATGGCCCACAGCAATGGAATGTCTGCTTCCGAGGGTTGGGTGGGGGACTCCTGGCAGAACTGGAAACTTCTTCAGGTGGGTTTTTTGTTTTGTTTTGGTTTTGTTTTCGAGATGGAGCCTTGGTCTGTCACCCAGGCTGGAGTGCAGTGGTGCAATCTCAGCTCATTGCAGCCTCCACCCCCCCACCCCGGGTGCAAACAATTCTCATGTCTCAGCCTCCTGAGTAGCTGAGATTACAGGTATGTGCCACCATTCCCGGCTAATTTTTGTATTTTTTGTAGAGACAGCATTTCACCACGTTGGCCAGGCTGGTCTCGAACTCCTGACCTCAAGTGATCTGCCCTCCTCAGCCTCCCAAAGTGTTGGGATTACAGACATGAGCCACCGAGCCCAGCCCCTTCAGATGGGTTTTGAGGCTTCACTACAATACTAGTTTCCTGTGGCTGCTGCAGCAAATTACCACACCGTGACTTAAAACAACACGAATGTATTCCCTTACAGTTCTGAAGACCAGAATTCTAAAGTAAGTCCCACTGAAGCAAGGTGGGAGCAGGGTTGTTGCCTTCCGAGGCTCTGCGGGAGAATCTGTCTCCTGGCCCTGGAGGCGGCCTGCACTTCTCAGCTTGTGCTGCGCGTCCTGAATGACTGGAGTTTCCTGCTTCCGTCACTACACCTCCCACCCTCTCCATCACCTTCTCTGCTCTTATAAGGATCCGGGTGAGTACATCAACCCCGCCAGTACAGGCCAGCCAAAGACCCTTAACTTCATTATATCTGCAAAGCCCCTTTTGCCATACAAGGTCATGTTCACCAGTTCCCGGGATTAGGATATGGGCATCTTGGGGGCATCAGCCTGCTACAGCTAGGCTGCAAAACTGTTACACCCTCCTGGTGTTTCAAAGATTGAGAGAAAAAGGGTTGGCATTTTTTGCTTAGGGGTCCCTCTTAAACTTGTACCTTTAAGGTCTGGGGTCCCTTTTAACCTTGTTTTTGTTTTTGTTTTTTCTTTTTTGAGGTGGAGTGTTGCTCTGTCGTCCAGGCTGGCAGTGGCATGGTCTCGGCTCACTGCAACGTCTGCTTCCTGGGTTCAAGTGATTCTCCTGCCTCAGCCTCCTGAGTAGATGGGACTATAGGCACCCACCACCATGCCTGGCTGTTTTGTATTTTTGGTAGAGATGGGTGGGGGTGGGGAGGGGGGTTTTGGCTATGTTACCCTGAGCTCAAAGCCATCTGCCTGCCTCTGCTGCCGAAGTGCTAGGATTACAGGCCTGCACCACCACACCCGGCTGCTGTAAAGACTTATTTCCACACAGTTGAGACATGTTTTAGGAAGTTTGCTAAAAGACCCCTGGAGACCTCCTCTTTGTGGCCTCCCTGTTACCGTGTTTAATTTGATTGAACTTTTCTGCCCTCCTGCTTTTCAACTTCTCTAATAGTCTCTCATTAAACCAATTCTAAGAACCACCAAAAAAGGGAAAAAATTTTTTGAAAGCAGTAAAATGATGTGGACTGTTAGAATGTAAAATATATGAAATAAGTTCTTACATGTTAGTGCTGCTCTGACATAGGGACATATTGAGAATCAGCTTTTGCTCAGTTTTCAGAGAAATGGAATAATCATATTGCTGATCTACATAAGCAAGTTGAAGAATTGTCTGAAAGAAAATATGGTATGTCTAAACTGGAAAAGTCCTGTAATCCTGTGTTCATGAGCATTTACACAGTGGAGTTACTCTTCATCATGGGGGTACCGTGGACAGGCCCAGGGCTGCTGGTGAGTCATGCCTCCTTACACGTTTCTCCTTGTCAGGTGCTTTGTAGTGTCTAAATATTGGAAACATTCTCTGTTTCTAAATTGCTGCAAAGCTAAGGAAAAGTTGTGTTTCTTTAATTATTAGCATTTCTTTTAAACTTTCAGCATGGAGATTGGGAATTTATTTACATATTTATTGCAAAGCCTTTCATCTTAGGGATTTCATTGAATTATTATTATTATTATTATTTTTTGAGACAGAGCCTCACTCTGTCACCCAGGCTGGAGTGCAGTGGTGTGATCTCTGCTCACTGCAACCTCTGCCTCCCGGGTTCAAGCAGTTCTCTGCCTCAGCCTCCTGAGCAGCTGGGATTACAGGTGCCAGCCACCACGCCTGGCTGATTTTTGTATTTTTGATAGAGATGGTATCATGATCTTGGCCAGGCTGGTCTTGAACTCCTGACCTCCTGATCCACCTGCCTCAGCCTCCCAAAGTGCTGGGATTACAGGTGTGAGCCACCGTGCGTGGCAAAATGTTATTTTTTAAAATGAATTGTTTCTCTTAGTCTGCTTCATTAAATTTGGTATTCATCCAGGTGTGGTGGCTCACACCTGTAATCCCAGCATTTTGGGAGGTCGAGACAGGCAGATACTTGAGATCGGGAGTTCAAGACCAGCCTGACCAACATGGAGAAACCCCATCTCTACTAAAAATACAAAATTATATGGGCGTGGTGGCACATGTCTGTAATCCCAGCTACTCGGGAGGCTGAGGCAGGAGGATCGCTTTAACCTGTGAGGCAGAGGTTGTGGTGAGCTGAGATTGCATCATTGCACTCTAGCTTGGGCTAAAGGAGCAAAACTCCATCTCCAAATAAATAAATAAATAAATAAAAATTCAGTACTCACCAAGGTGCCCCTATTGTCTCTACCTTTATCTTGCTGCATCACTGAGTTGACATTAGATTTCAAATTCGTCATTGCACTTATACTATTCTATCCTGAAGCCACCTTTGTATAATGATGAAAGAAATTAGCAATTTGTTATTATCCTCTGTCTGTTGGTATATATCAAGTGCTTACCTAAAAAGAGCAATAACCAAAGTGCTTACCTAAAAAGAGCAATAACCAGTGGAAAACATCATGTGTTTTACTGTTTTTATTTGGATGACTACTTGTAACCTACTAGCAAACTATAAAATTGTATGAGATGCAGAATTTTAACTGAATTGCTTTAAGTGAACGTTTAAACATGATAAATCATATCGATGGTATTTATGTTAATATACTTAAAGTGAACATTTTTTTCTTCATCATAAATAATATAACCTACTCCTCAATGAAAATCTAGAATTAAATTTGCTAGTGAATTCAGCAACATTTCCATAATATTTTTAGTTATGTGCTTAAGGTTTTCTTAGTGTTTCTCCCACTTTTTAATAGCTTATGCCTTTTTTGCCTTTGGTTTTTTTTGGTTCATTTTAAAGTAAAAATCTCACAACATGTGATACCTGGAAGCAGTGTAACGGTCTCACCTGGTGGTAAGACTGTAGGCTCTGGGGGCACAGGCTGGCCATGTCTCTTCTCCTGTCTGAGCTTTAGTGTCCTCTTTTGTGGTCATGAGAACTGAAGATCTATCCTGAAGATTTGATAAGACACTAAAGTGCTTCATATAATACCAGGCATATACATGCACAGTAAATGCTTCTTCCTTACATTTTTATTGATTGATTGATTGAGACAGAATCTTGCTGTTTCACCCAGGCTGGAATGCTGTGGTGTGATTGTTGTTTCTGCAACATCTGCCTCCTGGGTTCAGGCAATTCTCCTGTCTCAGCCTCCTGAGTAGCTGGGCTTACAGGTGCCTGCCACCGTGCGTGGTTAATGTTTGTATTTTTAGTAGAGACAGGATTTCACCATGTTGGCCAGGCTGGCCTTGAACTCCTGACCTCGTGATCTGCCTGCCTCAGCCTTCCAAAGTGCTGGGATTAAAGGCATCAGCCGCCGTGTCCAGCCTGTCTTTTCTTATCAAAACCACCCTTGGTGATGAAATGTTAAATAAGTACTAGTGGATATTATTTTGCTTAATGTTGCCTAGTGAATATTAAGTATTCTTACCTTTCAGAAATGAACTTATGAATTCAACAGGTGAAGATTTACAACTTGATTAAATAGCTTCAGGAGGTAGGTCTTCAATCTTAAGTCAGATTAGAAGATTATGTGAAATAATTATTTAAGGTTTAACATTGAATTCTTTTAATGGTACCCTCCACATGAAATAATATGCCTCTAAGTATTAATTATGTGCCAGGACAAGAGAATTCGTGTTGTCAAAATTCTCATACTCTCTAGAATAGTGAGCTCATTTTCTTTTTGTTAACCCATTACAAATACATGTAAATATTGCATTTACAGGTAGACAGAACTGGAAGAACAGTATTTGTCCTACTTTTGAGATGCAAGATTTATCTGGCGTAATGCATTGAACAGATTATTATTGAAGTCTACACCGGTCAACTGAACAAGCATTCGTCAAATGTCCATGATACGTAGGACAGAAGGTTTTCTTTTAGGGTGTGGAGCCATGCATATTATCTTTTAATTAGATTTAGTTGATATGTTTTTAAAGAAATAGAAGTATAATTGATTTTCTTGTTTTGGCTCTGGAGTGGGGACGAAACAGAATGGAATGACACTGTTTAGATTTACTAAAATGGAAGGCTAACCAGTGAGATCATATCCCATCTCCCTGGACCTTTGGCTTTTACAGGTTGAGCTATAAGAACAATTAGAAAAATGGATATCATTTAAACACAGTATGTAGAAAAGAATAATTTCTACATATTGTGAATAATTGCACCTGCTAGCAGTTCTTTTTTTTTTTTTTTTTAGATGGAGTTTTGTTTTGTTGCCCTTGCAGTGCAGTAGTGTGATCTCAGCTCATGGCAAGTTCTACCTTCTGGGTTTAAGCAATTCTACCTGCCTCAGCCTCCCAAGTAGCTGGGATTACAGGCACCTGCCACCATGCCTTCCTAATTTTTGTAATTGTAGTAGAGTTGAGGTTTCACCGTGTTGACCAGGCTGGTCTTGAACTCCTGACCTCATGTGATTTATTCACATTGGCCTCACAAAGCGCTGGGATTATAGGCATGAGCCACTGGGCTTGGCCATAATTTTTTTAATAATGTTGTTTTATTTTAGGAAAGTAAATACAATGAGTAGGACTTAGCTCCAGTTTTCTCTTACTGTTTTTTGTTTGTCTGTTTTGTTTTGTTTTGAGATAGAGTTTAGCTCTTGTTGCCTGGGCTGGAGTGCAATTCCGTGATCTTGGCTCACTGCAGCCTCTGCCTCAAGCGATTCTCCTTCTTCAGCCTCCTGAGTAGCTGGGATTACAGGCGCCCTCCCCAATGTCTGGCTACTTTTTGTATTTTTACTAGAGATGGGTTTTCACTGTTGGCCAGGCTGGTCTCGAACTCCTGATCTCAGGTGATTCACCCGCCTTGGCCTCTCAAACTGCTGGGATTACGGGTGTGAGTCACGACAACCGGCTTTAATGGGATATTTCACTACAGACTTTGATAAACAGAATATTAGCATTTTTGCTGTTGTTTTTATTTCAGTCATTATTTAAGGTTTAACATTGAATTCTTTTAATGGTACCCTCCACATGAAATAATATGCCTCTAAGCATTAATTATGCGCCAGGACAAGAGAATTCATGCTGTCAAAGTTATCATACTCTCTAGAACAATGAACTCATTTTCTTTTATTAACCCATTACGAATACATGTAAATATTGCATTTACGGGTAGACAGAACTGGAAGAACAGTATGTGTCCTACTTTTGAGATGCAAGATTTATGTGGCGTAATGCATTGAACAGAGTATTGTTCAATGTTTTGAACAATAATATTTTTATTTTATTGCTATTTTTCTTTAGACTCAATTATATTAACAGAAGTAAAGATAAAAGTATAAAAGTTAAAGACCAATACAAATTTAATAGTTATTCTATTCTACATATTGTGTTTAAATGATATCCCTTTTTCTTTTGTCGTTATAACTCAAGCTGTAAAAGCAAGGTCCAGTGATGATCCATACCCTTTTTCCAGTGTCATGTTGAAGATCTTTATGTAGAAGGCCGTTCCAAAGGAACTCTTTTTGTGTGGTGGGGGATGGGTTTTCATTCTTCTTGCTCAGGCTGGAGTTCAATGGCGTTATCTTGGCTCACTGCAACCTCTGCCTCTTGGGTTCGTGTGATTCTCCTACCTCAGCCTCCCGAGTAGGTGGGATTACAGCGCCCACCATCATGCCAGCCTGATTTTTGTAATTTTAGTAGAGGCGGGGTTTCAGCATGTTGGCCAGGCTGGTCTTGAACTCCTGACCTCAGATGATCCTCCTGCGTCAGCCTCCCAAAGTGCTGGGATTACAGATGTGAACCACCATGCCCTGCCAGAAATTTTTTTTAAGAAGACTGTCTACTAATGGAATTCCTGGCCTGGAGAGGATATTGCTGTCAAAGGAATGGATTCATTTTTTTATTAAAAGGTAAGACTCTTGGATTCTTATTGGACTCTCCTCTCTGTTCTGAGTAATAAATTTTTTATTGTTGACAAATATTTATTCACCACCAGGGTTATATTTAATTAAGTTGAGTTATTTTATGGTTTTTTTTTTTTTTTTTGAGATGGAGTTTTGCTGTCCTTGCCAGGCTGGAATGCAGTGGTGCGATCTCGATTCCATGCAATGTCTGCCTCCTGGGTTCAAGCGATTCTCCTGCCTCAGCCTCCCGAGGAGCTGGGATTACAGGCATGTGCCACTATGCCTGTCTAATTTTGTATTTTTAGTAGAGTTGGGGTTTGTCTATGTTTGTCAGACTGGTCTTGAACTCCCGACCTCGGGTGATCTCAGCCTCCCAAAGTGCTGGGATTACAGGCTTGAGCCACTGCACCTGGCCTATTTTAGGTATTTTATCTTCTACTTTTTAATTTATCTGGGTCCAACATTGAGTAAGTCATGCCGGTGTTAGCTATTAAAATGTGAAGACTGCCCTCACCTGACTGGCACGCAATTGACATTTTCTTTCACAGTTTTCTGCTACTTTTGCTAAAGAAAATAGTATCCATGTCTTGTTTTTAAGCCTGAGATTTTAAAGCCTATGTGGGAATAAATGATTTTTATAGATGTGTAGAGAAAGATAGTCTTGAATGCAATGTGATATTAAAGGATCCCATTTAAGATTATTGTAATATGTTTCAAAGACCTGTGGGTTGCAAAGTTACCAGTTTACTTGTGAGGACACATCCTCCACGAAGTACCTGATGAGACCATTTGCAATTATTATTTTGTTTGGTTACTGTATAGAAACCTCAAAAGAAGATTTAGTTGTGCTCAAGCATCCCGATTGTCTTTTCTTTTCTTAATTAATAATTAATTATTTTTTTCCCTCCTGAGATGGAGACTTGATCTTTCACTTAGGCTTAGAGTTCAGTGGCATGATGTTGGCTCCCTGCAATCTCTGCCTCCTGGGTTCAGGCAATTCTCCTGCCTCAGCCTCCTGAGTATCTAGGATTACAGGCATCTGCCACCACACTTGGCAAATTTTTGTATTTTTAGTAGAGACGGGGTTTGACCATGTTGGTCAGGCTGGTCTCGAACTCCTGACCTCAAGATCTGCCTACCTCGGCCTCCCAAAGTGCTGGGATTACAGGTGTGAGCCACTGTGCCCAGTCTGTCTTTTCTTTTCACACCCACCCTTGGTGATGAAATGTTAAATATGTACTAGTGGATATTACTTTGCTGAATATTGCCTAGTGAATTATTCTTATCTTTCAGAGATGAACTTATGAATTCAACAGGTGAAGATTTACAACTTGATAAATCAGCTTTGTGAGGTAGGTCTTTAGTCTTTAGTCAGGTTAGAAGATTATGTGAAGTAACGTTTAACATTAATTTCTTTTAATGGTAGCTTTCACATGAAATAATATGCCTCTAAGTATTAATTATGTGCCAGGACAGGAGAATTCATGTTTTCAAAATTCTCATACTCTCTAGAACAAACTCATTTTCTTTTTATTAACCCATTTTTAAATATGTGTAAATACTACATTTTGGGTAGACAAAACTGAAAAAACAATATTTGTCCTACTTTTGAGATGCAAGATTAATGTGGCGTAATGCATCGAACAGGTTATTATTGAAGTCTACACCAGTCAACTGAACAAGCATTCATCAAATGTCCATGATACTCAGGACATAAGAAGTTTTTATTACTAGTATGGAGCCGTGCATATTATCTTTTAATTAGATGATTTAGTTAGATATGTTTTTAAAGAAATAGAAATATAATTGATTTTCTTGTTTTGGCTCTGGAGTGTAGTGGGGACGAAACAGAATGGAATCACACTGTTTGCAATTATTAAAATGGAAGGATTGCCGCAAGATCATATCCCTAGTCTCCCCATAGCAAATGTCATGTGCTAGCTGTTTTGTGTGTGTGTGTGTGTGTGTGTGTGTGTGTTTTTTTTTTTTAAGATGGAGTTTTGTTCTGTCGCCCATGCTAGAGTGCAGTGGTGTGATCTCAGCTCATGGCAAGCTCACCTCCTGAGTCCAAGCAATTCTCCCTGCCTTAGTCTCCTGAGTAGCTGGGATTACAGGCCCCTGCCACCACGCCTGCCTAATTTTTGTATTTGTAGTAGCGTTGGGGTTTCACCATGTTGACCAGGCTGGCCTTGAACTCCTGACCTCAGGAGATTCACCCGTCTCAGCCTCCCAAAGTTCTGGGATTATGGGTGTGAGTCACTGCACTTGGATTTAATGGGATATTTCACTGCAGACTTTGATAAACAGAATATTAGCATTTATGGTATTCTTTTTATTTTACTCATACTATTTTTCTTTGGACTCAATTACAATAACATAATTAAAGATCAAAGTATAAAAGTTAAAGACCAATACAGATTTAATAATTATTCTTTTCTACATATTGTGTTTAAATGACATCCTTTTTCTTTTTGTTCTTACAGCTCCAACTGTAAAAGCCAACGGTCCGGGGATGATCCCATACTGTTTTTTCCAGTCTCATGTTGAAGATTTTTATGTAGAAGTTCTTCCCAAAGGAATTTTTTTTTTTTTTGAGACAGAGTTTTCACTCTTGTCGCCCAGGCTGGAGTGCAATGACGTGACCTTGGCTCACTGTAACCTCTGCCTCCTGGGTTCGAGTGATTCTTCTGCCTTAGCCTCCCGAGTTGCTGGGATTATAGGTGCCCAGCACCATGCCAGGCTAATTTTTGCATTTTTAGTGGAGATGGGGTTTCGCCATGTTGGCCAGGCCGGTCTTGAACTCCTGACCTCAGGTAATCTTCCTGCCTCAGCCTCCCAAAGTGCTGGGATTAGAGGTGTGAACCCATGCCCGGCCAGAAATGTTTTTTTTAAGAAGGCTGTCTACTAGTGGAGTTCCTGGCCTGAGAGGATATTACTTTCCAAGGAAAGGATTTCTTTCATTATTTAAGGGTAAGATTCCTGGATTCTTACTGGACTCTTAATCTCTGTTCTGAGTAATCCATCTTTTTTATTGTTGACCAGTAGTCATTCACCACTAGGGTTGTATTTAATGAAATCTGAGTTATTTTATGGCTTTTTTTTTTCTTTTGAGACCGAGTTTTGCTCTCATGACCCTGGCTTGAGGGCAATGGTGTGATCTCAGGTCATCACATTCTCTGCCTTCTGGGTTCAAGCTGTTCTCCTGCCCGGCCTCCTGAGTAGCTGGGTTTACAGGCATGCGCCACCATGCCTAGCTAAGTTTTTGTATTTTTAGTAGAGCTGGTGTTTCACCAGGTTGACCAGGCTGGTCTCGAACTCCTGACCTTGGGTGATCCACCCGCCTCATCCTCCCAAAGTGCTAGGATTACGGCACTTTAATCCTAGCACCGTGCCCAGCCTGGGCCTGCTTCTTTCATTCTCTTTTTCTTTTTTTTTTCATTAGCAGTTTAAAATTGGTGACTTATTCAGACACAAGCAAAAGAATATTAGCCCAGCTTTGGAAATAGGTGTGAGCCCATGTATGATTTTCCTAGTTTCTCCTCCCCCTTCGCTTTTTGCTCTCTTGTTAGTATGTTAATTGTTTTCTCTCTCTCAATCTTTTTTCCCCATTTCTTTGGCAGACATTTTTACTTGTCTTGGAAGAGTAGGCGAAGAGCTGTTTTTAGGACTCTTTGAAAGGGTACAATATGGATGACAGTCTTGGCTAATGGTAACCAGATCCAGGGAGCCGGGGTCAGTGTGAGCTGGAATCAGTTCAAATTAGCAAAGCACTGGCACTCAGTGGCAGGAATACAAGTGACCGCAAATTGTTTAACACATCTGGAAAGGGATACTGACATCATCCTCAGAATCTGTGGGGAATACACATAGCTTGTAAGACCCATTCCTCTTTGACCCTAAAAAGATTCTTTGAAGAATAATACCCTTAGCAATTTTCTAGCCGGCTTGCCTGCTTATTTATCTTTGAGGACAACATGCCTCGTGGAGCTCCACAGGCCCCAGAGGATTCTGCATTTGAAAGTGCTGAAGCTGAGAGACTGGGTCTTGGTGGACCCCAAGAGGTCTGCTTTTCCTCTACTCATTTTCCTTTTTTTCCCAGCAACTGGCATTGCTGTTTAAATGGGTTGTTCTTTGCCGTTTAATTGTTTGGTAGTGGTGTGTCAGGATTTGGGTTTTCTGGATAGTTCCCAGCTGGTGACTTGAGTGGTGGTTAGGGAGGAGCTGTTTTAGGGCTGTTCTGGAGCTATTGAGTTAGATGTATGGATACTCACAGCTCGTCTGTTGAGGAGAATGCTGTTCTCATTGTGCTGCCTTTGGTGGTGCTGTGTGTGGCCCTTTAGATGTGGGTGGAGGTGAGTTGGGGCAGTTAATGAGATCTTTTTTAGGTGCTTTTGATAAAGTAGCCTGCACTACAGGATTCACTGTGACTTTTTCCTTAACTTGTGCGTATTTCTCTCCTAGCCTTTGCTGTCTTTCTCATGCCTTTGATTTTCCCAGCTCCTCGTGGTTGAATTTACATAAGTCCTCTGCTGTGGTTTAAGTGTGTCCCCCAAAGTTTATGTGCTGGAAACTCAATCCTCAATGCAACAGTTGGGATGTGGGGCCTAATAAGAGAGCCTTCATGAATGAGTTAATGTTGTTATTATGGTAATAGATAAGTAATCACAGAGTGGTCTTATTATAAAAGAGAGTTCAGCCCCTTTTGCCCTCTTGCTGTCTTGCACTCTCTTGTCCTTCTGCCTTCTGTCGTGGGATGATGCAGCAAGAAGATCCCTACTAGATGCAGGCCCCTCAACCTTGGATTTCATAGCATCCAGAACTACAAGAAATAGTTTCTTCCTTTCACCTTTTCCTTTCCTTTCCTTTCTGTTCCGTTCTGTTCTGTTCCATTCCATTCCTTTCCGTTCCCTTCGCTTCCCTTCCCTTCCCTTCCCTGTTTTTCCGTTCTCTTCCCTTCCCCTCCCTTCCTCTCTCTCCGCCTCCCACCTTCCTTCCCTTCCCTTCCCTCTTTCCCTCTTTCCTTCCTTCTCTTCCTTCCCTTCCCTTCCTTCCCTTCCTCCCCCTTCCTCCTTCCCGCCTTCCCTTTTTCCCTCCTTCCTCCCTTCCCTTCCCTTCCCTTCCCTTCCCTCCTCCCTCCCCTCCCCTCCCTCCCTCCCTTCCCCTCCTCCCTTCCTTCCTTTTTTCCTTCTCGTAAATTATGCAGTCTGTGGCATTCTTTATAGCAGCATGAAATGGACAAAGACCAACTCCATTTTCAAGAGCAACCCTTTTGTAGTTTCTGAGCCAATTATGACTACAAAGGAAGTTCTGTAGGTAGCCTCAGATCCACCACCTAGGAAGCATGCTACCAAGCAGTCCTAGCATCTAGGATTCGATCAAGTCCTGGGCAACATGATACCTCTGCAATTTAGCACCTCCCTATGTACCTCCAGTTGGCTCAGCCATCAGGGCTAAAACTACCCCTCATATCCTAGTGTCTCTTGTAGGCAGAAGCCTTGCCTAAACCCTAAGCTGCTTGGCTCACATTCTGTCTTGTGCTTTTTTTGTAGGGGGTTCAAACATACACAAAAGAAATAGGATGAACCTCCATGTACCCAACCCTCCGATTAAGCAGTTACCTCCATTTTTCCAGATTTGTTTCATCTACTTTCATCTCCCTAAAAATTTATGTTTGTAAGGGAAAAACTGAATAAATAGCTCCACACTACCTCTCATTTTAAGTCACTTTTCAGAGTAGTAAGTTAGTGACCTAGTAACCTTCCCTCTAGTGACCAATAGCTTTTTTTTCTGAATATCATCATGAACTCATAGATTATTGTTTGCATTTGATGTATTTCAGGCCATTGTTGTCTTTATTGTTTTGGATGCTTACATTGTCTCATCGAGGTTAATAATTATCTCTTCAAGTTGACTCTCCTGTCTTTTTGATGTGATGTTGTTGGACTTTGATGACTTCCTTGCTTTCTGGCAAAAAAGATGTTCCAGGATCAATATACTGTACCATACATGGAGTCAGCCATTTCTCTAGGGGGCCTTAATTCCTGTTAATAGAGAACACAGTTTGGGGTCTTGGACTGAATGACTTTTCTGAACCTCCTCTTCTGAGACTACAGCCTGCGTCCCTGCATATACCCATTTGGAGCTCTTGCTGGCACCAGCAGATCTCCTGAAACTGCTATATAGTTCTGCCTCACTCTTACAAAGATTCATCTCTTGAGAGTTTTGTGCTCTGTCCCCAGATATAGTCTTTCTGGTTCTGAAGCTTCTGTTTCAGTCCCCCTGAATTCCACCAGCCCTATGCATGCCATACCTTGGATTGCTAACCCAACCCCAGTGGAGCCTCTTTGGTTAGAATAGTTGCCACACCCCGTGCCTAGTACTCTAGTAAACAAGGTTCTACCTGGGCTTAGGTTAACTTTTGCTCCTTTGGGCCCTGTGTTCTACCAGCATTTCATTTATCTGAAACTCCCCCCTCACCTCCAGACCTTAATTGTTCTTTAATGGTTTACTGCTGCTTCCTGGGTTCTCAAGAACCCAGTTCAGGAGTTTCTGTTTTAGTTTGAGATCTTACAGGCCTGTCTCATCAGGTTGGTGTCAGTCCAGCTAGGATTAGGCAGAATTGGGTGGGGGTTGTAGTGCATTTTTGGCCCAGCATGTACCTGTCTGACTAATAATGTGTCTTTTCTTTCCTGTTGCAATTCATGGGCCTTAGCATCTTCTGAATGGTGTTTAGTAGGTCATCCTGTTGATTTCCTGCTAGGGAGTAGCATACTCTGGCACTGTACCATTGGCCAAGGGACTTAAGGATAGATGACAGGCTGCAGTTTTGTTAAATGGAACAATATGAAGAGATGGCATTTTGGCAGCAGGGCCTATTTGAATGGTTGGTCCTTTGTCCCTGTGTTGATATAGGCAGATCCTTGACGGGAATTTGGAATGATCCCAAATATTGTAGATCACTGGTACATCAAGTTATCCTCAAGGCTGTATTTCTAATGATATTTTGTGAATTTTTGGAGATTCTCTGTGTAGGGTTTAATCGTTTAGTTTTTTTAGTCATGCCTGTTTAGTTTCTTTGCAAAGAAATAAGAAATCTGAAAGAGATGGCAGGCATTAGGGAAAAAAGCCAGGAGCCTTGTTCCCCCACCCTCTACTTAGGTTCTGGAACTGTATTCATAGGTGAGTAGTGAGGAGCTGGGCCCAAGCACATTAATCCTAGATGTAGCTCTGCTTTGCGCTCGCTCCAGTACTTGTATCAAATTCACTTCAAGTCACCCAGAGTAATATGTAGAGGAGTCATTCAGGAGCATGCTTATACTTCATTATATCAAATGGGAGATCCTGTAATTTATAGCCTATTATTTCTGGAGTCTGGAGATGGCTCTGCATAAGCTTTGCTGAAGCAGATTTTATTACATTAGAAGAGAACCTAGCTGGCTGCATCCTACACTGGAAGCTTTTAGATGCTAATAAGGAGGTCACAGAACGTAAAGGTCACAGAATGACTCTGGAATCCATTCCCTGCCAAGAAAGAATAATGACGCTCTAGGTTGGCCTCTTTTCGTTTCCCTTTGATTTTGAGTAATAAATTATCTCCTCACTTCCCAGCTGAACAGTTGGGAGTCTCTATTCCCTAGAAAGACTCTGGTCACATGCCCATCAGATTAAATTAGGTGACAACTCTTTGACCTTAATGAATGTTGAAGGATTTCAAAGGGCTAATGGAAATTCTTCTGGAAGTAATTGCAACCTCCGCCTCCTGGGTTCAAGCGATTTTCCTGCCTCAGCCTCTGAAGTAGCTGGGATTACAGGCGTCCACCACCATGCCCAGCTAATTTTTGTAGTTTTAGTAGAGGCGGGGTTTCACCATGTTGGCCAGGTTTGACCTCAGATGATCCATCCGCCTCGGCCTCCCAAAGTGCTGAGATTACAGGCGTGAGCCACCGCGCCTGGTTAAACTCCAGTTTTTCGTGTTCCCTGCATAGGTCAAGGTCTTAGGGAGTGATTCATTCTAGCAGAACTCCCTGGATTTTAAGGCAGGTGTTCCATTTATTAATTGACAAAGGAGGCATATTTCTCCCCTGGTAACCTAAAGATTTAGGTTGTTTTCCCAGGGACTCTGTTTTCACTCTGAGGGTTCCTGGAAACTAAGCAGAGGATGAGGAAAAGGCTGTGAACAAGCTTGCTGGTCTCTCCCTGTCCTATAAAAGAGCATACTTCTTCTGTAACCAGAAGACCCTTTTGATTAGTCAAGGCTGGACAGACTGAGATGAGGGTGTGTGTGTGTGTGTGTGTGTGTGTGTGTGTGTGTTGAGACAGGGTCTCACTCTGTCACCCAGGCTGGAGTTCTGTGGTGAGATCAGAGCTCACTGCAGCTTCTACTTCCTGGGCTCAAGCAATCCTCCTATTTCAGCCTCCAGAGTAGCATGGAGTATAGGAATGTGTTACCACACCCAGCTCATTTCGTAATTTTTTGTAGAGATGAGGTTTCACTGTGTTGCCCAGGCTGGTCTTGAACTCCTGGCCTCACGGGATCCTCCTGCCTTTGTCTCCCAGTGGCTGGCATTATAGGTATGAGCCACCTCACCTGACCTGCAATTATTTTTCCACAATATACTTTCTCTTTTACAGAGCCACTTAAGCTAAAGATTCCCTTGAGAACAAGTACTGTCCTGTGGTTTCATGGCCTTTCTTCCATTTGTGGTTCTTGCCAAGTGGTATTTCAATGACCTCTTATCAAGATGGATAAACCCAAGTTTCCCAGTGCTGGAATAGAGAAAATGGATGGACAAGTAAGTCCCACTCAGCACCCATAGCCCAGGCATGGGACCTCAACACACCTGAGCCCCAGACGTCACCTTTCATTGTGAGTAGCTCTGAGATGACACTTCTGGTTGGTAAATACCTACTGGCAATAGTTTATGTAACAGCAAGTGAAGGAATAAATAGTCACCAAAACGTTTTCTGTCCCCAACTCCAGCATTAATTGGATTAGATAGTTATTTTATGAAAAATTTTCCTATGCCGCAGTCCTGACCATATCTTCAAGTGAACAGAAAAATTCTATTAAAAAGTGAACCTTCTGTCTCACTCTGTTGCCCAGACTGGACTGCAGTAGTGCAATTATGGCTCACTGCAGCCTCAACCTCCTGGGTTCAAGCAGTCCTCCTGCCTCAACCTCACAGGTAGCTGGGACTACAGGTGCTTGTCACCGCACCTCACTAATTTTCCCATTTTTTAAATATTTGGATTCCACAGGACTGACTTCAAAAACTTGAGTATGCATGGATTTTGGTATACACAGAAATGGGGTAGCTGGAACTAATTCCCCCATATACCAAGGGACAAATTGTATCTGTTTTTACAATTATAGTGTAGGATACATTATGTTCCATGACAATGGTAATTTTTAATGACAATTTTTAATTGAGTGAAATTACCATAAAAATAATAATTTGCTGAGCTGTTACTAGGTGCCTATAAGTACCACAGATTTTTTAAATTCCCCATATCTCTTCCTTATTTCACTTAACCACTCTATCTTAAATTACTCATGCTTGCTTCAGTGGCACATGTACTTAAGTTGGAACAATAGGCCTCTGTGAAAGAATGACATGCAGATTTGTGAAGCATTCCATATTTTTTTAAAAATGAGGAAAAAATTACTCCCAGATTTTCACTGTGTTTGTGCATATCACCTTTCGTTTAGGTTGAATTATATCCAAAGATGATATTTCCGGAAGTGAGATTACTGTGAGTGACAGGGTATGAGCATTCTTATTACCCTTGATGTAAATTGCCAAGCTTTCAGGCATGGTGGCTGTCAGCCTATAATTCCAGCACTTTGGGAGGCTGAGGTGGGAGGATTGCTTGAGGCCAGGAGTTGGAGGAGGCAGTATAATGAGTAACTGTCTGTATTATTTTAAAAAAATGTCCAAGCTTTATCCTGGAAGGTTTATATACAATTTAAACACCACTGATAGTACAAGAAAATGGCCATTTCACTGCACTTTCACTGGCACAGGTATTATAATTTAACAAGTTACTTTCTGTGTGATAAATAAAAGACTTCATATTACTTTGTCACCCTTTTTTTTTTTTTTTTTTTTTTTTGAGACACAGTCTCGCTCTGTCACCCAGGCTCTAGTGCAGTGGTATGATCTTGGTTCACTGCAACCTCTGCCTCCCAGGTTCAAGCAATTCTGCCTCAGCCTCCTGAGTAGCTGAGATTACAGGCACACACCACCATGCTTGGCTAATTTTTGTATTTTTAGTAGAGATGGGGTTTCACCGTATTGATCAGGCTGGTCGCAAACTCCTGACCTCGTGATCTACCCGCCTCGACCTCCCAAAGTGCTGGATTACAGGCGTGAGCCACGTACCCGGCCTATTTGTCACACGTTTTATCTTTCCTTGTGTTAGCTTCTTAGCTTTATTTCTTTATTGTCCTTTTTTTTTTTTTTTCTTTTTTTGAGATGAAGTCTCGCTCTGTCTCCCAGGCTTGAGTGTAGTGGCACAGTGTCAACTCACTGCAGTCTTGACCTCCTGGTCTCAGGTGATCCTTCCACCTCAGTACTTGGGTTTATGGGTACATGCCACTATGCCTGGCCAGTTTTTTTTTAATTTTTAGTAGAGACGAGGTCTTGCTTTGTTTCTTAGGCTGGTCTGGGACTCCTGGCCTCAAGCGATCCCCCCACCACCCCTCCCAAAATACTAGTATTATAAGCGTGAGCCACCATGCCTGAGCTGTCCATGTCTTTTCCATTTATTTATGGAATTAATTTGTCTTTTACTAATGCGATGATCTGTTTAATCTTTTATTAAATTATAAAAATAGTAAATACTTTTAAATAAATAAGTGAAAAATTTCCTTCAGTCTTTAGACCCATAATCTTATCTCAGGAAATAATTGCTATTGAGAAAATGGGCCATATCCTTCAAGACACATACATGGTGATTGAACATCACTTCACATTTTCATATTTCGTGGACATTTGTGCCAATACCTATTGATCTATCTTAATCCTTTTCATGGTTGCATAATATTTTGTTATATACATGTATCACAGTTTACTCATCAGCTGCTGTAGGCATTTAGGCTCCTTCTAATATTTGCTTTGAGTTCTTTATATAATTAAAAATTAACCCCCTCAGCCAGGTGTGAGGTCACACCTCTGTGGTGTTACAGGCAGGTCACACCTGTAATCCCAGCACTTTGGAAGGTTGAGGTGGGAGAACTGCCTGAGTGTGGGAGATCACCACCAGCCTGGTCACCATAGCGACACTTTGTCTCTACTAAAAATTAAAAAAATATTGAGCTACACATTGCACTGTACACCTATAGTCCCAGCTACTGGGGAGGCTAAGACTGGAGGATCACTTGAGCCTAGAATGTTGAGGCTGCAGTAAGCTATGATCACACCACTGCACTTTAGCTTTGGTAAGAGCAAGACTGTTTCTTAAATAAAATAAAAATTAGATGGGAATATTGCTGGAGCCCTGGAGGTTGAGGCTTCAGTTAACTGTGATTGCACCACTGCAGTCCAGCCTAGGCGATAGAGCAAGACCCTTTTTCTAAAAATAAAATAAAAAGTAACCTTCTGTTACATTTCCCAGTAACACTTTCCCTCCTATGTTTCTGCTGGAAGCCCTTGCATTTTGTTTGTTTTTCACATACCATTTAAAACTTTTAAGTACTGATGTATGTCTGTGTCATCCCTCTTTTTTCTTTTCTTTTTTTTTTTTTTTTTAAAGAATGTGTTTTTGTCACTCCAGCTGGATCTACCATGAAAGACTTCTGAATCCAGGAAGAGAGACTGACTGGGCAACATGTTATTCAGGTACAAAAAGACTTGGAGTATAACTCAAAAATGATCAAATAATAGTGCGTGCATCAAGTGCAATGGGAAGCTCTTCTGGAGGGTGAGAGAAGCTTCCAGTTAAGGTGACATTGAAGCCAGGTCCTGAAAGATGAGGAAGAGTTGTATGAGAGTGGGGAGGGAAGAGGGACGTGGAGGGATGAGGAATGGGCTGGGATGGGATGGAGTGAGCAGCCCAGGCAGGGAAACCAGCACTGTACAGACCTGGACAATGAAGATGGCACATTTTGTTCAGGGAATGGTGAATTAAGTGTGGCAGGAATGCTTTGTAGAGACAGTAATTTGCTTGTATGGAATTTTGCCCGAGACCTCATTACAGTTTCTAAATTTTTGTGTTATCATGCATCACTGTCCTTGTCAAACAGTGTGATGATCACAATAACATCAACCATAGTATTTCATTAATTCTCACAAAAACAGGTAGGTGCCACAGTTATCCCCATTTTATGCATGAAATGATGAAGACTTGGGGTTAATGAGTGATTTGCCCAAGCTCACATGGATATTAAGACTGAGTCAAATGTTAGGTCTGGTCTGACTTTAATGCTTGCCTTGTTCATGAGCACCATGCATTGACTCTCCTATGCAGTTAAGCAGGTAGACAGGTGAGAGAATAAGTCATGTTTTTCTCTACTCAAACACTTCTAACCAAATGTATGTGTGGAGTTTCTACACCGGTTCTCCAACTCTCTGGATACCAACTGCGTATTCCACAATTCCATTCCAACACTACCTGGGGTTAGTGCAGACCTCACAGGTTAGGGGCTCAGTCCCACAAGACCACCCTTACTTCAGATGCCAATCGCAAGTCCTAGGTTGTCACCTGTATTTCGACCAACCAGTTAGAAATCAGGGTTTCCCATGACTCTCTTCTTCAGTTTAGTTATTTGCTAGAACAACTCACAGAACTTAGAAAAACAGGTTTTTCCTTTTCTTTCTTTTTTTTTTTTTTTTAAAAAGACAGGGCCTTGCTCTTTTGTCCAGGCTGGCGTGCAGTGGTGCAATCATAGCTCATTGAAGCCTCAACCTCCAGGGCTCAAGTGATTCTCCTGTCTCAGCCTCTCAAGTAGCTGGAATTACAGGGTTCCCACCACCACATCTGGCTAATTTCTTTTATTTTTTGTATAGATGGGTCTTGTTATGTTGCCCAAGCTGGTCTCAAATTCCTAGACTCAAGTGATTTCCCCCACCTCTGCCTCCCAAAGTGCTAGGATTACAGGCATGAGCCACCTCATCTGGCCAGCTTATTTTCTGTTACTGGCTCAATGTAAAGGCTCCATCTCAGGAACAGCCAGTGAAAGAGGTGCACAGGGCAAGGTAAGTGGGGAGGGGCACAGAGCTTCCATGCCCTCTGTTGGGCACACTACCCTCCCAGCACCTCCTTGTGTTCAGCGACACAGAAGTTCTCCAACCCTGTTGTTTGGGTTTTTATGGAGGCATGATTGACCATTGGTAGCTAAGTCAATCTCCAGTCCCTTTTGCCTCCTGGAGTTCGGCAGGTGAGGCTGAAAGTTCCAAGCCTCAAGAAATGTGGTTGGGGCTGGGCGCAGTGGCTCATGCCTGTAATCCTAGCACTTTGGGAGGCCGAGGTGTGCAGATCATTTGAGGTCAGGATTTTGAAACCAGCCTGACGAACATGGTGAAACCCCATCTCTACTAAAAATACAAAAATTAGCTGGGCATTGTGGCACATCCCTATAATTCCAGCTACTCAGGAGGCCGAGGTAGGAAAATTGCTTGAATCTGGGAGGCGGAGGTTGCAGTGAGCTGAGATTGTGCCATTGCACTCCAGCCTGGACTACAAGAGCCAAACTCCGTTCAAAAAAAAAATGTGGTTGGTTCCTCTGGCAGCCAGCCCTCCTCCTGAAGCAGTCTGGGAGCTTGCAGCCACTCTGTCAGCTCAACAGCATCCCACATGCATTCTTACCATGCTGCAGATCTGAAAGACCTCAGAGGCCCTTGTGTCAGGAACCTGGGACTAAGACTGAATATTAAAACAGAAAATGCTCCTATTACCTCCGTCACTAAGGACTTTATAAGAGCTTTAGAAGTTCTATGCCAGGAACCAGGGGCAGAGACCAAATGTATATTTCTTTTCTTATATTTGAGACAGAGTCTCGCTCTGCCACTGAGGCTGGAGTACAGTGATGTGATCATAGCTCACTGCAGCTTTGACTTCCTAGGCTAAAGCGATCCTCCACCTTAGCCTCTCCAGTAGCTGGAACTACAGGCATGCATCACCATGTCCAGCTGATTTTAATTTTAATTTTATAAAGGTGGGGGTCTTCCTATGTTCCCCAGGCTGGTCTTGAACTCTTGGCCTCAAGCATTCCTTTCTCTTTGGCCTCCCAAAGTGTTGGGATTACAGATGGGAGCCCCCATGCCCACCAATCAAGGATCTTTATAAGAGAAAGGAGGAGGTAGGAGAGTCAGAATTAGAGAAGGAGATGTGGTGATGGAAGAAGAGGTCAGAGAGGGAGATTTGAAGATGCTGCACTTCTGGCCTTGAATATGGAGTCAGGGGCCATCTTCAAGATGAGTCAAGGAATGGGGGTGGCTTCTAGAAGCTGGAAAAGGCAAGGGAGCACATTCTCTCTAGAGCCTTCAGAAGGAATGCAGCCCTTCTGACACCTGACTTTAGCCTTAATAGACCTAGTTGGGCTTCTGGACCCCAGAACTGTAAGGTGGTAGATTTGTGGTGTTTCAAGCACTAATATAGGGTAGTTTGTTGTAGCAGCAAGAAAAGTGAACATGAAGCTGGGGCTTTATGTTACAGTTGCTCATGCCTGTAATCCCAGCACTTTGGGAGGCTGAAGTAGGAGGATCGCTTGAGCCCAGGAGCTTAAGACCAGCCTGGACAACATAATGAGACCTCATGTCTAAAAAAGTTTTTTTTAAAAAAGGCTGGGCGCGGTGGCTCACATTTGTGATCCCAGCACTTTTAGGAGGCTGAGGGGGTTGGATCATGAGGTCAGAAGTTCAAGACCAGCCTGGCCAAGATGGTGAAACCCCATCTCTACTAAAAATACAAAAATTAGCCAGGTGTGGTGCCTGTAATCCCAGCTACTCGGGAAGCTGAGGCAGAGAATCACTTGAACCTGAAAGGCAGACTTTGCAGCAAGCCGAGATCACGTTGTTACACTTCAGCCTGGATGACTGAGACTCTGTCTCAAAAAAAAAAAAAAAAAATAGCCAGACATTGTGGCATGCAGCTGTAGTCTCAATTCCTAGGGAGGCTGAGGCGGGAGGATTGTTTAAGCCTGGGAGGTTGAGGTTGCTGTGAGCTATGATTGCACCACTGTACTCCAGCCTGGGCAATAGAACAAGACCTTATTTCAAAAAGAAAGAAAGAAATGAGCATGATGGGAATGGGGACAAATGGCAATGTTGAGTAGAGTGGTCACGGTTGGCCTCATAAGTGAATATTGAGCAAAAGTTTGAGGCAGATGATGCAGCTGGCCAAGGTGCTGAGGGAAGAGCTCTGTAGGCTGAGTCAACAGGATAGAGGCATTAGGAGGAAACTCCCTGGTGTGTCTGAGGCTCTGGAAGGAGGCCAGTGGAGCAAAGAGAGAGAGGGAGCGAAGTTGGCGAGGAGGCCAGGAAGTTGCTGGGCTGGGATCGGTACAGATCGTGTAAGCCCTGGGACGCTATTCCTGGGGCTTTGGCTTTTACTCTGACTAAAATGGGACCACCGAGGGGTTCTGAGCAGAGAGGCGACATGATCTGTCTCCTGATTTAAAGCACACCCTGGCTGCCAAGTTGAGAAAGACTCTGGGAAGATTTGTGTAGAAGCATGGGGGCCAAACTGTGGCAACATCCCAGTGAGAGATGATAGTGGTCCTGACCTGGTGCACAATGGTAGTGAGAGATGGTCAGAGTCTGGATACATGTTGAAGTCAGTCAATAGGATTTCCTGACAGACTGGATGTGAGCTGTGAGAGAAGGCAGGGGTCAAGGTTGAGTTTGATTCTAATTGAATTATTAAGTAATTAAAAAAAAAAAACCCTACTGCCTTTCCCAATCCTACGAAGTAAAGGATGCTAGATAAAAAAATCCTAAGTCAGGCCAGGGGCAGTGGTCACACGTATAGTTCCAACAGTTTGAGAGGCAGAGATGGGAGTATGTTTTAAGGCCATGAGTTGAGAGCAGCCTGGGCAACATAGTAAGACCTCCTCTCTACAAATAAAAGAAAGAATTTAATAAAATAAAATAAATATAGCGGGGCATGGTGGTGTATACCTACTCAGGAGGCTGAGGTGGGCAGATCTCTTGAGGCTGGGAGTTTGAGGCCAGCTTGGGCCACATATTAAGACTTCTCTCTCTAAAAAAATTAATAATAATTTTAAAAAGCCTGACATGGTGGTACTTGCCTGTATTTCCAGGTATTGGGCAGCTGAAGCAGGAGCATCTCTTGAGCCCAGTTGGTCAAGGCTGCAGTGAGCTATGATTATACCACTGCACTCCATCCTGGGTGACACAGTGGGACCCTGTCTCAAAATACAAATACAAATGAAATGAAATCCCAAGTCAGACCAGTCCCTTCTAGGCTATGTAGGCCTTGCAACCACATAGCTGCATGATCGGGTTTGTGTGGCTGTGGATGAGGAGACCCCTGCCCAACTGTTGTTGGCTTTATAATCAGTTTATTTTTCAGTATAGTAATCAAATATATTTCATCATACTTGATGGTCTCAGATATGTGTGGGTTTTGGAATTCCCCTTGGAACAGGTTGTAACATCTTATTTGCTCCATCATTCCATAATTTTAAAAATCTGATCATTGTTTAATAAGATCGGAATTGATATTAGACTACCTAGTCAGTTTTGATTATTGAGAAAATGAAATTGTATTGTTTGTACTTTATCCAAGATTGGTGTCATATTGGGTAAATCTAATCAATACTTGAACAAATGCAAAATTAGAGCTTTATCATGAAAAACTATGTCATTCTTGAAGAAGATGCCATTTCTTTTTTTCTTTTTTTTTTTGTTTAAGATAGAGTCTTGCTCCTGTCGCCCAGGCTGGAGTGCAGTGGTGCAATTTTAGCTCACTGTAACCCTTGCCTTCTGGGTTGAAGCAGTTCTCCTGCCTCAGCCTCCCGAGTAGCTGGGATTATGGGTGTCCGCCACCATACCCAGCTAATTTTTGTATTTTTAGTAGAGACACGGTTTCACCATGTTGGCCAGGCTCATCTTGGACTCCTGACCTCAGGTGATCTGCCTGCCTCAGCCTCCCAAAGTGCAGGGATTACAGACGTGAGCCACCAGGCCCAGCCTCCATTTCTTTTTCGTAGTCTTTAATAAACAGCTGGTATTGTTGCAGACTTGCTATTTAGGCACTTAGGAATTTTTCACTAGAAGGCATGTAAAGAAAGACCATGGGCATTTGTAATGAATTTAGCATTCATTCTTTGCATGACTGTCCCCAGAGCTGTAACTTTACTAATGAATTGTTTACAAACCACTTAGCTAGCAAGGGAGCCTAACCAGCCACTCACCCTCCTTATTCAGTGCTCTTTTGTTCTTGTCTGTTTCTCCTCCAACTTGGCTGCACTCACAAAGTGATACAAACTTGCATTTGTTTTCCTTCCTTTTTAGAGACAGGGTCTTGCTCTGTTGCTCAGTATGCAGTACAATGACATGGTCATGGTTCACTGTAGCCTCAAACTCCTGGACTCAAGCAGTTCTCCCACTTCAGTCTCTGAAATAGCTGGGACTCCAGGCATGTGCCACCATGCCCAGCTAATTTTTTCATTTTTTATCATAGAGATGGGATCTTGCCAGGTTGCTCACACTAGGCTCAAAACTCCTGACCTCAAGTGATCCTCCTGACTCAGCCTCCCAAAGTGCTGGGATTACAGGCAGGCATGATACCTGTGCTATTATTTTAAATAATAGCTTTATTAAAATATTATTCACATGCCATTCACTTTATTTATTGAAATCTGCAATTCAGTAGGTTTTAGAATACTCAGAGAGCTGTGCATCGATCACCACAGTCACTTTTAGATCTTTTATTACCCTATAGAGAAATCCATACCCCTTAGCACTACCTCCTACTCCCCCCACCTGCCTTGGCCCCCAGCCTTAGGCAACCATTGATTCATTTTTTTGTCGCTATAGATTTGCCTAATCTGGACAAATAGAATTGTACAATATGTGATCTTTTGTGGCTTTTTTTCCCTCTTAGCACAATGTTTTCAAAGTTCCTTTATGTCATAGTGTGTATCAACATTTTATCGTCCTATTGCTGAGTAATACTCCGTGGTAGAGACACGCTGCATTTTGTTTATCTGTTCATCAGTTAGTGGACATTTGGGTTGTCTTCATGTTTTGGCCATTATGAATAATGCTGCTCTGAAGATTGTTGTACAATATATATTTGTGTGGATATGTATTTTTATTTCTCTGGGATATATGCCTAGGAGTGAAGTTGTTGCATTATATGATGACTGTACATTTTGAGAAACTGCCAGACTGTTTTCTTAAGTGGCTACACCAGTTGGGTGTGATGGCTCACACCTGTAATCCCAGCTACTCAGGAGGCTCCGATGGGAGGAATTGAGCCCATGAATTCAAGACCAGCCTGGGCAAGATAGTGAAACCCTGTCTTGATTAAAAAAAAAAAACAACAAACAAAAACCAATTGAAATGACAGGAAAAGAAATACCCAAAGTGTTTACACGCTTTTATGTTCCCACCAGTAATGTATGTGGGTTCCAATTCCTCCACATCTTCACTGACATTATTTTTTTTTTAGATAGGGGCTTCTCTGTCTCTTAGGCTGCAGCCCAATGACACCATCACAGTTCACTGCAGCCTTGACCTCCCAGGCACAAGTGATTCTCTCATCTCAATGCCTGGCTAATTTTTATATTTTTTTGGAGTGATCGGATTTTACCGTGTCACCCAGGCTGGTCTCATACTCCTGGCCTTGAGTGATCTACCCACCTCAGCCTCCCAAAGTTCTGGAATTACAGGCTGAGCCACCATGCCCGGCCTTCACCAACATTTGTCATTATGTTTTGTTTTTTCTTTTATACCTTAAAGCAGTATAAGAACAAGTGTCTTCAATTATAGGAAACAATATAATCCCAGGGCATTGGGCGGCTAAGACAGGAAGATGTGTTGATGCCAGGAGTTTGTTTTCTGTTTTTTTTTCAGACAGAGTCTCACTCTGTGGCCAGAGTGGAGTGCAGTGGTGCGATCTTGGCCCACTGCAACCTCCGCCTCCCAGGTTCAAGTGATTCTCCTGACTCAGCCTCCCAAGTAGCTGAGACTACAGGTACACGCCACTACTGCCCGGCTAATTTCGTATTTTCAGTAGAGTCGGAGTTTCACCATGTTGGCCAGGCTGGTCTCGAACTCCTGACTTCAGGTGATTTGCCTGCCTCAGCCTCCCAAAGTGCTGGGATTACAAGCATGAGCCCCCATGCCCAGCCTGATGCCAGGAGTTTTAGACCAGCCTGGGCAACCTAGCAAGACCTTGTCTCTACAGAATATTTAAAAATTAGTCAAATGTGGTGGTGCCTGCCTATAGTCTCTCTCTCTCTCTCTTTTTTTTTTTTTTTTTTTTTTTTTTTTTTTTTTTTAACTTTTTGAGACATGGTCTGGCTCTGTCTGAAACTCCTGGGATCAAGTGATCAGTCCTCCCACCTCATCCTACCAAGTAATAGGGACCACAGGTGCATGCCACCGAGGTCTTGCTATGTTGCACAGGCTGGTCTTGAGCTCCTGGCCTTAAACAGTCCTCTCACCTTGGCCTCCCACAGTACAAGGATTACAGGTATGAGCCACCATGCCTGGCCACTACCCTGCCTGTTGAGAACCAAAAGAAGGATCCAAATTCTCCTTAGCTCAACTCGAGCCATTTCCTGATTGCATCATCAGCAAGGAGCTGGTTATTGGGCTGTCCAGACCTCCCAAGTGGCACAGAAATGAGGTGAGGGAGTTTTCCTGCTCCTCCACTCTGTGAGGAGTTGGAAGATGATGTTTACTCGTTTGCAGAGAGAGATGCCTTGTAAGCACCTTAGGATGGAGGGGACCCTGATTCCAATGTCATTTTTTTCTTTAGAAACAGGACCTTGCCTTGTCACTCAGGATGGAGTTCAGTGGTCCAATCACGGCTCACTGTAGCCTCAAACTCAAGCAATCCTGCCACATCAGCCTTCCCAGTAGCTGGGACCACAGGTGAGCACCATGACACTCAGTGAATCTTGTTGTGATTTTTTTTGTAGAGATGGGGCCTCAAGTGTGTTGCCAGAGCTGACCTTGAACTCCTGCACTCAAGGGATTTTCCTGCCTTGGCCTCCCAAAGTATTGGTATTACAGGCATGAGCCATTGTGCCCACTGTCTCTGGTTCTTTACCTTCTGCCTCCCTCTTCCACTTTTAAAGAATGCTTGTAATTACATGGACTCTTCTAGATATTCCAGGATAATCTTGTTTTAAGGTCAGCTGATTTTCAACATTAATTTTATCTGCACTCTTAATTCCCCCTTCCTATGTAATTGTGCTGTGTAACATAGGACATGAACAATTGGTGGGGGTGGGGGTTATTACTTTGGCTACCACAGTAACTGTTTTGTGCTAGGTACTGAGCTAAGCACTGGTGAATTAAGCATGAATAACACACTCTCCCTAATCTCCATCCATTCATGGGAGGAGCACCTCACCTGCCATGCTCCTGAGAATCTGGGGAGTCAAGGAAGTCTTCCGTGAGGAGGTGATGCCAAAGCGGACAAGTGACAGAGGAGCTGAAGCTAGCCAGGAAGAGAGTAGAGGTTTAAGGGGAAGCGTATTATAAGCAGAGGGCATCACCCACTTCAGAGAGTCCCAGAGGAGAAAGATGAGGCTCAGCTGGACTCCATAGTAGGTGAAATGGAGAGGGGCAAGCAGTGAGGCTGCCTTGCAAGGCAGGGCAGAGCAGGGGCTGTTAAGGAGTCTGGACTTAATCCCGGAGGCAAGGAGAAGTGATGTAAATGGGGGAGTAACGTGATGAGATTCACGGATTAGAGACATGGTTCAGGCTGCTGTAGCGAAGGCACCAGGAGGAGCAGATGGCTCAGTGGGTGTGCAGGAGACCTCTCACTGAGTTTAGGAAGAGGTTTTTAAAATAGAAGAAGTTTGAGTAATTTAAATGATGGTGGGAAGGAGCTAAAAGTGGGGGATAGGTTAAAGATACAGGAAAGTGGGAGGAAGAACTGACAAGTGAGGTTCCTGAGAGGGCAGGAGAAGAGGAGATTCCCATAGGGGGATTAATACTTTCTTTTCTTTTTCTAAGACAGGGTCTTACTCTGTCACCTAGGCTGGAGTTCAGTGCATGATCTTGGCTCACTGTAGTGTAGACTTCCCAGGCTCAAGGGATCCTCCCACCCAGACTCCCAAGTAGCTGGAACTACAGGTGTACACCACCACCACACCTGGCTAATATTGTTCTTTTTTTTGGGTAGACACAGCGTCTCACTATGTTGCTCTGACTGGTCTCCAACTCCTGGCCTCAAGCGATCCTGCTGTCTAGGCTTCCGAAATTGCTGGGATTACAGGCATGAGCCATAATGCCTGACCTCTGCTAGTTCTGTATTCTCTAGAGATGTCTTTACTTCGTGCTAGTGTGTCCCTCATTATGCTGATCCTCTGTTAAAATTAATACCTTTTTTTCTTTTGAGATGGAGTTTCACTCTTGTTGCCCAGGCTGGAGTGCAATGGCGCTATCTCGACTCACCGCAATCTCCGCCTGCCGGGTTCAAGTGATTCTCCTGCCTCAGCCTCCTGAGTAACTGGGATGACAGCCATGTGCCACCATGCCCAGCTAATTTTGTATTTTTGGTAGAGACTGGGTTTCTCCGCGTTGGTCAGGCTGGTCTCGAACTCCTGACCTCAGGTGATCTGCCTGCCTTGGCCTCCCAAAGTGCTGGGATTACAGGCATGAGCCATTTCGCCTGGCCAAAATCAATACTTTTATATTAAATTGACATATATGTATTGTTTTTCTTTTTGATACCGGGTCTTCACGCTGTCACCCAGGCTGGAGTGCAGTGGCACAACCTCTGCTCATCGCAGCCTCCACCTGCCAAGCTCAAGCAATTCTCCTGCCTCAGCCTCCCACGTTGCTGGGATTACAGGTAAGTCCCACCACGTAGCTAATTTTTGTGTTTTTTGTAGAGATGGGATTTCACCATATTTCCCAGACTGGTCTCAAACTCCTGAGCTCAAGGCAATCCACCCACCTTGGCCTTCCAAGTGCTGAGATTACAGGTGTGATCCACCTTGCTCATTCCAGTTTAAACTTTTGAGTTGTTTGTGTCTCCTGATTGGACTCCTACAAATACAGAATTGATGCTAGGAAGGGTACCAGGAGATAGACCCACACAGATAGGATTTGGGAATAGGTTTGGTTATCCAAGGAGCAGTGCTGAACTCCTTCCTAATGGGATATAGGATGCTGGTGATTTCCAGGAAGTGACCTCACAATGACTCAAGCTACCACTTACTATTGATTGTGGTGAAATGCCAGGTGAAGCGTATGCCCTGTGAGCTTAGGGGTGCTACAGTTGACCACTGCCACAGTAAAGATGACTCTGAAGAATGGCATGGGATGGATCCTTCGAATGCACTTGAGCAGCGGTCTCCAACCAAAGGCCATAGAACCGAAGGTGAGCAGCAGGCGAGTGAGGGGAAACTTCATCTGTATTTCTAGCCCCTCCTATCGCTTGTATGACCACCTGAGCTCCATGTCCTGTCAGATGAGCAGCAGCATTCGATTCTCATAGAAGCACGAACCCTGTTGTGAAGCATGCATGCGAGGGATCTAGGTTGTGCACTCCTTATGAGAATCTAATGCCTGATGTTCTGTCACTGTCTCCCATCACCCTAGATGGACAGTGTCGTTGCAGGAAAACAAGCTCAGAGATCCCACTGAGTCTACATTATAGTGAGTTGTAGAATTATTTCATTATATATTACAATGTAGTAATAATAGAAATAAAGTGCACAGTATATGTAATACATTTGAATCATCCTGAAATTATTCCCTCCACTCCCAGTCTGTGGAAAAATTGTCTTCCACACGTTCACTCTGTTTTTTGGTAGAGACAGGGTCTTAATATATTGCTCAGGCTGATCTCAAATTCCTGGCCTCAAGTAATATACCTCTCGGCCTCCCAAAGTGCTGAGATTACAGGCGTAAGCCACCACCCTCAACCAAGACTTATTCCTTAAACCAAATAAAAATTAAGTGAGATGACTTGAGACCAGGTGGTCGAGGCTGCAGCGAGCCCTAATTGCACCACTGCACTCCAGCCTAGGTGACAGAAAATAAAAATAAAATAAAAATAATGTCTCAAAAAATAAAATAAAATACAATTAACCTTTATGACATTCCCAGTAACTTTCCCTCCTAAATGTTCCCCACAAGTCTTTGAATTTTGTTTAATTTTCACACGCATACCATTTAAGACGTTTAAAACTTCCGATCTATCTGTGTCATCCCTTTATTTCAAAGAATGTCTTTTTGTCACTTCCAGCTGGATCTACCATGAAAGACTTCTGAATCCAGGAAGAGAGACTGACTGGGCAACATGTTATTCAGGTACAAAATACTTGCACTGTAACTCAAAAATGATCAAATAATAGTGCATGCATCAAGTGCAGTGGGAAGCTCTTCTGGACAGTGAGAGAAGCTTCCAATTAAGGTGACCCTTGAAGCCAAGTCCTGAAAGATGAGGAAGAGTTGTATGAGAGTGGGGAGGGAAGGGGGAGGTGGAGGGATGAAGAATGGGCTGGGATGGGATGAAGTGAGCTGCTCAGGCAGGAAGACCAGCACTGTACAGACCTGGACAATGAAGATGTCACATTTTGTTCAGGGAATGATGAATTAAGTGTGGCAGGAATGCTTTGTAGAGACAGTAGTCTGCTTGTATGGAATTTTGCCTGAGAGACCTGACTACAGTTTCTAATTTTTTGATGTTATCATCCATCACAGTCCTTGTCAGATAGTTTGGAATAGGTATAATGATCACAATAACACCAAGCATAGTATTTCAGTAATTCTCACAGAATCACAGGTAGGTGCCACAGTTATCCCCATTTTATGAATGAAGTGATCAAGACGTAGGAATAATGAGTGATTTGCTCAAGCTCACCTGATATTAAGACTGAGTCAAATGTTGGGTCTGGTCGACTTTAATGCTTGCTTTGTTCATGAGCACCACATATTGCCTCTCCTATGCAGTTAAGCAGGTAGACAGGTGACAGAAAAGCCCGTGTTTGTCTCTACTCACACACTTCTGACTGAATGTATGTATGGAGTTTCTACACCAAATTCTCCAATGCTCTGGATATTAACTGGGTATCCCATGATTTTATTCTGATACTACCTGGACTTAGCACAGACTCCACAAATTAGGGGCTCAGTCCCACGAGACTGTCCTCACTTCAGATGCCAGTGGCAAGTCCTAGGTTGTCACCTGTACTTTTGACCAACCTGTTACAAATCAGGGGTTCCCATAACTCTCTCTTGGGTTTAATAATTTGCTAGAACAGTTTACAGAACTCAGAGAAACAGTTTATTTTCTTTTTTCTGAGAGAGACGGTCTTATTTTGTTGCCCAGGCTGGTGTGCTATATTTCTTTTCTTTTTTTTTGAGACAGAATCTCCCTGTGTCATCCAGGCTGGGGTGCGATGATGTATCATAGCTTATTATAGCTTTGACCTCCTGAGATCAAGCGATTCTCCCACCTCAGCCTCCGAAGTAGCTGGGACTACACATGCATGTCACCCATGCCTAGCTCATTTTTGTAGTCGGTGTTTCACCATGTTGGCCAGATGGGGTCTTGTTGTGTTGCCCAGGCTGGCACAAATTCCTGGGCTCAAGTGATCCTCCCACCTCATCCTTGTAGAGATGGGATTTATTTATGTCGCCCAGGCTGATGTCAAACTCCTGGGCTAAATCGATTGTCTCACCTCAGCTTATCAAGTAGCTGGGACTACAGGCACACACCACCATGTCGGGCTAATATTTATTTTTATTTTTTTCTAGAGGTGGGTCTCACTATGTTGTTCATGCTAGTTTCAAACTTCGGGCCTCAAGTGTTCCTCCTGCCTTGACCTCCCAAAGTGTTGGATTATGGGTGGTAGCCACCATGCCCAGCAATCGCAGGGTCTTTATGAAAGAAAGAGGGTAGGAGATTCAGAAGTGGAGCAGGAGATGTGGTGATGGAAGCAGAGGTAAGAGAGGGAGATTTGAAGATGCTTCACTTCTGGCTTTGAAGATGGAGTCGGGGCCATGATCCAAGGAATGGGAGTGGCTTCTAGAAGGTGAAAAAGCCAAGGGAGCACTTCAGAGTCTCCAGAAGGAATGCAGCCCTGCTGACACCTTGACTTTAGCCTTAATAGACCTAGTTTATGTTTCTGGCCCCCAGAACTGTAAGATGGTACATTTGTGGTGTTTTAAGCCACTGAATGTAGAAAACTGCAAACTATATTGCAGCAGCAAGAAGAAATGAACATGAAGCCAGGCATGATGGCTCATGCCAGTAATCCCAGCACTTTAGGAATTTAGGCAGGAGGATTACTTGAGGCCAGGAGTTCAAGACCAGCCTGGGCAACATAGTAAGACCCTGTCTCTACAAAAAATGAAAAAATTGGCCAGGCATGGTGGCTCACGCCTGTAATTCCAGCACTTTGGGAGACCGAAGTGGGCAGATCACCTGAGGTCAGGAGTTCGAGAGCAGCCTGGCCACATTGCGAAACCCTGTCTCTACTAAAAAGACAAAAATTAGCTGGGCATGGTGGCACGCACCTGTAATCCCAGCTACTTGGGAGGCTGAGGCAGGAGAATCACGTGAATCTGGGAGGTGGAGGTGGCAGTGAGCTGGGATTCCACCATTGCACTCCAGCCTGGGCAAGAAGAGTGAAACTCTGTCTCAAAATAAAATAAAATACTAAAACAATTAGCCAGGCATGATGGCATGAACCTGTAGTCTCAGCTACTCGGGAGGCTGAGGTGGGAGGATTGCTTGAGCCTGGAAATTTGAGGTTGCAGTGAGCTGTGATTGTGTCAGTGCACTCCAACCTTGGTGACAGTGAGATCTTGAAAAAAAGAAGGCAGAAAGTAAAGAAGAAATGAGCATGGTGGGCATGGGGACAGAAGGCAATGTTAAATATTACGGTCAGGGGTGGCCTTCTAAATGAAAATTGAGCAAAGACTTGGAGGGGAAGGAGCTGGCCAAGGTGCTGAGGGAAGAGGATTGTAGGCAGAAACAACAGAATAAAGTGTCGAGGTGTGTCTGAGGCTCTGGAAGGAGGCCAGTGGAGCAGAAGGAGAGAGGGAGAGAATTAGGGGACGGGGCCAGGGAGTTGCTGGGTGGGGATCAGTACAGATCACGTAAGCCCTGGGAGGTTATTGCTGGGGCTTTGGCTTTGACTCTGACTCAGATGGGAACTGCAGGAGGGTTCTAAGCAGAGAGGCGACATGATCTGTCTCCCAGTTTAAAAGCATTCTCTGGCTGCTGAGTTGAGAAAGACTGTGGGAAGATTTGGGTAGAAGCATGGGGGCCAAGTTATGGCAACATCCAGGTGGGAGATGATTTTGGTCCTGACCAGGGTCATGGTGGTGTAGAGAGATGGTCAGAGGGGAGAAGTAGGGGAGGAGGCCAGGGAGTTGCTGGGTGGGGATCTTTAGTGTGTGTTGAAGACAGTCAACAGGATTTCCTGACAGACTGGATGTGAGAGAAGGCAGAGGTCAAGGTTGAGTTTGATTCTTACTGAATTATTAAGTAATTAAAAAAAACACTACTGCCTTCCCAATCCTAGCAAGTACGGGATGCTAGATTAAAGAAATCTCTTCAAGTTCATTGCAGTGGCTCATGTCTGTAGTCCCAGCTGTTTGGGAAGCAGAGATGGGAGTATCTTTAAGGGCAGGAGTTCAAGACCAGCCTGGGCAACACAGCAAGATCTGCTCTTTACAAAAATATTTTTCAAAATTAAATAAATGTAGCTAGGCATGGTGATGTGTACTTGTAGTTTCAGCTACTCAGGAGGCTGAGGTGGGCAGATCTCTTGAGGTCAGGAGTTTGAGGCCAGCTTGGGCAACATAACAAGACCCTCACTCTACAACAAAATTAAAAAATAGCCAGGCATGGTGGCACTCAACTGTAGTACCAGCTGCTGGGGAGCTGAGGCAGGGAGATGGCTTGAAGCCAGGAGGTTGAGGCTGCAGTGAGCTGTAAGTGCACAGCTGCACTCTAGTCTGGGTGACAGAGCAGAACCTGTATCACAGTACAAATAAAAAATGAAATCTCAAGTCAGAGCTTTCAGCTCTACAACCCTTGCAAACCCTGAGCCATGCAGTAGGGTTTGCATCGCTGGGAATGAGGAGACCTTGCCCAGTGTTGTTGCCTGACTAATCAGTGTTTTAAGCATTTATTAATCAGGGTGGGCGCGGTGGCTCACGCCTGTAATCCCAGCACTTCAGGAGACCCAGGCGGGTGGATCACCTGAGGTCAGGAGTTCAAGACCAGCCTTGCCAACATGGCTAAACCCTGTCTCTACTGACAAAATACAATAATTAGCCGGGCATGGTAGTGGGCGCCTGTAATCCCAGCTACTTGGGAGGCTGAGGTAGGAGAATCGCTTGAGCCTGGGAGGCGGAGGTTGCAGTGAGCTGAGATTACGCCACTTCACTCCAGCCTGGGCGAAAGAGCGAGTATTATATCAACATGTAATGGTTTTATTATTAATATGTAATGAATGTTAAATATTTTAAGAATCTTGTATCAACATGTAATGGCTTTATATGTGAATATTTTTAAAATTCTGTCTTATTTTCTAGTTTTAATATACTTATTTATATAAAGAAATAGTCTTAGAGGTCTTTAATAAAGTTAAAAAATGTAAAGACATCCTAGACCCCAAAAGATTGAGAACTTCTAGTTTAGAAATATTCAGAATAAGCCACATACAACTTGCTACTTGAACTATTTTTTTTTCTTTGTTTTTTATTTTAGGAGATGAGGTCTCACCCTGTCACCCAGGCTGGAGTACAGTAGTACTATCACAACTCACTGCAGTCTTGAGCTCCTGGGCTAAGGATCCTCCTGCCTGAGCCTCCTGAGTAGCTGGGACTATAGGTATACATGACGACACTTGGCTAATTTTTAAATTGTTTTGTGGACATGGGGTCTCACTTTGTTGGCCTGGCTGGTGTCAAACTTCTGGCCTTAAGTAACCCTTTCACCCCTGCCTCCCATCCTAGAGGTATGAGCTGCCACAACGAGCACTTGTTCAATTTTCTAAACAAATAAAACATTTCTAAAGTAAGGCTGTAGGATGATGGCAGGAAGATAAAAATAGAAAAACAGAAGAATAAGTTCAGATGGCTTACACATATTCTTTTGACAGCAAGAAGAACTTTTAGTATATACATTCCTTGCAAACAAACATAAGGCAAATAAACAGTGTTGTATAGGAACGTCAACACACACTACAATATTCCCACTTTGCTGACATGAGTTATGGAACTTTTGTGGTTTACTTGAGTATCGCTATCAGTATTTTGCTTCTCTGATCATTTTTATGAACTTCCTCATCTGTTAACTTCTCTCCAAGGTATGTCATATCGTGACATACTGCTGCTGCACAAACATGGCCAGTGTCTTCTCTTAAACATGTTGAATGCTTTCTTAATTTCTTTTACCCTCTGTCTCTGTGTTTCGCATTTTTCTTACCTTTATTGTCAGAAACTCGAGAAAGTCAGTCATACTAATTTATCGCCATTTGCTTTATTAATTTATACTTTTCTTATACGGAATTTTGCCCAACAGGCCTCATTACAATTTCTAACCTGTTTTGTTTTATTTTGTTTTTTTCTGAGGCAGAGTCTCGTTCCGTTGTCCAGTCTGGAGTGTAGTAGTGCTATCACAGTTGACTGCAGCCTCAACCTCCCAGGCTCAAGCAATCCTCCCGTCTCAGCCTCCCACGTGGCTGAGACTATAGGTGCTTGCCACTATGCCCAACTAATATTTGGAATTTTCCTATACGTGGGTTCCAGAGGGGTGACGGCGAAACGTGAGTAAGCATGGATTTTGGTATATGCAGAGATGGGGGGCTGGAACTAATTCTGTCTGTATACCGAGGGACGACTGTATATGTTTTTACAATTATGCTGTAGGACACATAGTATTACATAGCTTTGAAAATAATAATTTTTAACTGAGTGGAGTAATGATAATATTGATAAAAGTAGCAGCTGGCCAGGTGTGGTGGCTTACACCAGTAATCACAACACTTTGGGAGGCTGAGGCAGGAGGATGGCTTGAGGCCAAGAGTTTGAGACAGGCCTTGGAAACAAAGGGAGTCACCATCCCTACAGAAAAATACATGAATTAACCTAGTGTGGTGGCATGTTCCTGTAGTCCCAGCTACTTGGGAGGCTGAGGTGGGAGGATCGCTTGAGCCCAGGGAGGCTGAGACTGCAGTGAGTCATGATCAGGCCTCTGCACTCCAGCCTGGGTGACAGAGTGAGATACTGTCTCAAAACAACAAAAAAGTAGCAGCTAACATCAACTGAGCTTTTACCAGTTGCCTGTTAATACCATGGTTTAATTTCTTATAACTGTTTCTTATTTCACTTAACCACTCTGTCTTCCGTTACTCCCAGATTTTCACTGTGTTTGTACAGATGACCTTTGTTTAGATTGAATTGTCTCCCCAAGGTATTTGCAGAAGTAAGATTACTGTGAGTCATGGTGAATGGACATTCTCATTACCCTTGATGTAAATTGACAAGGTTTTGGGTGCCTCCCAGCTATAATCTCAGCACTTTGGGAGGCTAAGACAGGAGGATTGCTTGATGCCAAGGGTTGGAGGAGGCAGTTTGGCAGTATGGTGAGACCCTGTCTCTATTATTTTAAAAAATTGTCAAGCTTTACCCTGGAAGGCTTATATACAATTTAAACACCCCTCATAGTATAAGAAAGTGCCCATTTCACTGCATCTTTGCCAGCACAGGGTATTAAAATTTGATGTCATTTTTTGTTTTTCTAAATTGGTAAAAGACCTCATATTACTTTACTTGTCACATTTCTACATCTTTCCTTAGCTTATTAGCTCTATTTCTTTTCTGTCTGTAAATGGTTGTTGTTGTTTTGTTCTTTGAGACAGGGTCTTGCTCTGTCACCCAGGCTTGACTGTAGTGGCATAATCATGACTCACTGCAGCCTTGATCTCCCAGGATCAAACTTCAGCTTCCTGAGTAGCTGAGACTACAAGTGTGCACCACCACTCCCAGCTAATTTTTTTCTTTTTTTGGATAGAGACAGGGTCTCACTGTGTTGTCCAGACCGGTCTCTAGCTCCTGGCCTTAAGCAGTCCTCCTGTGTTAGCTTCTCAAATTGCTGGAATTTTGGGTATGAGCCACCATGCCTGGCCTGGGCTAGTCCTGATTTCTCTAGAGTTCTCTTTACTTTGTGCTAGCCAATCTCTCATTATGCTGTTCCCCTGTTACAATGAATAATTCTCTGGATTAAATTTTACCACTTTAAACTTTTGAGTGGTTTATGTCTCCTGATTGGACTCTGACTAATATGCTCGGAAGGGTCCCAGGAGAGAAACTCAAACACAGATGGGATTTGGGCATAGGTTTGATTTTCCAAGGGACAGTGCTGAGTTCCTTGCCAATGGGAAATGGGATGCTGGTGATTTCCGGTAAGTGACCTCACAGTGACTCAAGCTACCACTTACTGTTGATTGTGATGAAATGCCAACTGAGGCACATGCCTTGGGAGCTAAGTGGTTGCTGCAGTTGACCGCTATGAAGACTGGTGTGGGAAGGGTCCTTTTGGATGCACTTGAGCGGGGGTCCCCAACCCCTGAGCCATGGAGCTGTAAGGAGCCACACAACAGGAGGTGAGTGGTATCGAGTGAGGGAAGCTTCATCTGTATTTACAGCCACTCCCCTTTGCTCACATTCCCGCCTGAGCTCCACCTTCTCTCAGGTCAGCAGCAGCATTAGATTCTCATAGGAGCACGCACCCTGTTGTGAACCGTGCATGCGAGGCATCTAGGTTTTGCTGTCCCTATGAGAATCTAATGCCTAATGATCTGTCACTTTCTCCCGTCATGCTCAGATGGGACCATCTAGTCGCAGGAAAACAAGCTTAACATGCCCACTGATTCTACATTATGGTGAGTTCTATAATTACTTTCCTATATATCACCATTTAATAATGGAAATAAAGTACCTAATAAATGTAACATACTTGAATCTTTTGGCCCAGGTCTTGCCTCCCGGCAGCCTCTGCAGCCTCTCCAGGCCCCAAACTTTCTCCAGTCGGCCTCTACAGACCAAGCTCATGACTCACAGTGGTCTATTTAGGCCCGTACCCTACCTCACAGCGGTCTCCGCGGATAAGGCTACTGCCTCACAACAGCCTCCACAGGCCCAGCTCCATCGTTACCACGGCCTCTTTAGAGCCAGCTCCTGCCTCCCAGTCTTCTCTCCAGGCCCAGAACTTTCTCAAGTCGACCTCACCAGACCCAGCTCCTGCCTCTCATTGCCCTCCCAAGGGCCAGCTTTTGCCTCACGGCCACCTTCCGAGACCCAGCTCCTGTTTTACAGTGGCCTCATGAGGCCCATCTTCTGACTCCCGGCAGCCTGTACAGGCCCAGCTCCTGCCTCTTTGCAGGAGGCCCAAATGTCCTCAACTCCAGGCCACAAAATCCAGGCCCAAAATGTCCACAAGTCGGCCTCTGAAGGCCCCGCTCCTGCCTTTCGTTGGCCTCTCCAGGCCCAGCTGCTGTCCCCAGGTGACCTCTACAGGCTGCGCTTTTACTTCTGGCTGTGCCTGGAGGCCCAACTCCTGCCTCAGAACAACCTCTTTTGGCTCAGCTCCTGCCCAGTTCCTGGTGGCCTTTGAAGGCCCAAAAGTGCCTCAAGTCAAGCTTTCCAGGCCCACCCTCTGCCTCCCAATGGCCTGGACAGGCCCAGCTCCTACGTAACAATGGCCTCTCCAGGCCCAGCTTTTGCCTCACGGACATGTTCTCCAAACAAGCTCCTACCTGCCTCCCGGCCAGCTCGATGGGCCCAGATCCTGCCTCACACTAACCTCGTTAGGCCCAGCTCATGCCTCACTGTGGCCTGTCCAGGCCCAGGTCCTGCCCCCCGACAGGCTGTCCGTGCCCAAAACTTCCTCAAGTCAGCCTCTCCAGTCACAGCTCCTGCCCAACATTGGCCTGTTTAGGCAGGACTCATGCCTTGATGGCCTCTCCAGGCCTCTCCAGGCCCAGCTCCTGCATCCTGGCAGCTTCTCTAGACCAAGAACTTTCTCAGGTCTGCCATTCCAGGCCCAACTCCTGCCTCCCGTCAGCCTCCATAGGCTCAACCTCTGCCTCGCAGGAGACTTTCCTGGCCACCTAGGCCAAGCTCCTGCCTTTCAGCAGCCTCTACAGGCCCAGCTCCTGCCTCTCAATGACCTCTCTAGAGCAAGCTCATGCCTCACAGCGGCCATTCTGGCTCGACTTTTGCCTGTCGGCAGCATCTCCAGGCCCAAAACTTCCTCCATTCAGCCTGTCCAGGCCAAGGTCTTCCTCCCAAAGGCCTCTGCAGTCCCAAATCGTCCTGAAGTCAGCCTCTGCAGGCCCAGGTCCTGCCTCCCAGTGCTGTGTAGGTCAAGCTAATGCCTCACAGCAGACTTTCCAGGCCAAGCGTTTGCTTTTGTGCATCGTCTCCATGCCCTTAAATTACTCCAGTCGGTCTTTCCAGGCCCAGCTCTTCCTCCCAGCAGCCAAATTGTCCTCAATTTGCCCTCTCCAGGCCCAACTCCTGCCTCCCAGTGGACTCTTCAGGACCAGCTCATTCTACATAATGGATTTTACAGGCCCAGTTTTTCCCTGTTGATGGCTTCCCAAGGCCCAGAACGTCCTCAAATCGGACTCTCCAGACCCATTTGCTGCCACATGGTGGTCTCTCCTGGCCCAGATCTTCTTCCCGGCTGTGTTTATACGCTCAATCCAACCAGACAACAACCTCTGTGGATGTCCCTTTTGCCAAGCTCCTGACGGCCTATATAGGCCCAAAACTTCCTCAACGCAAGCTCACCAGGCCAAATTCCACCCACATGGGGGACTCTGCAGGCCCAAACCATCCTGAAGTTGGGTCGTCCAGGTCTAGCTACTGCCTCCTGACGACCTTTGCAGGCCCAGACTCTCTCATGGCAACCTCGACAGGCCAAGGTCTTCCACCGGCTGCATATACAGGCCCAACTCCTGCCTCTGAAAACACAACTTTTGTCTCAGCTCCTGCATATATCCTGCCAGCGTCTTTAGGCCAGATACTGTTTCCAATCAAGCTCTTTCGGCCTCCGCAGTCCAGAGGTGCTCCTGACTTGCGACAGTTTCGACAGGCACCACTCCTGCCTTCCAGTGGCCGCTTTAGGCCCTGCTCATTCCTCTCGGGGAATGGCCTTTCCAGGCCCACTCTTTGCCTTCTGGCGGCCTCTCCAGGCCCGAAACTTCCTCAGGCCGGCCTCTCCAGGCCCAGTTGCAGCCTCCCGGCCTCCCGTCCAGGCCCAGCTCCTCCTGCTCCCAACTGCGGTCGCAGGCCCAGCCCCGGCCTCACAACAACCTCTTTGGACTCGGCTCCGGACCAGCTCCCGCTCCGCGGCCTTTGTAGGCCCTAAACGTCCTGAAGCCGGGCCCCACGGTGGGCCTCTCCGGGACCGGCTCCTGCCCTCCGACGGCGTCTCCACACCCCAGACTTCCTCCAGCCAGCCTCTCCAGGCCCAGCTCCTCCTCCTGGCAGCCTTTGCAGGCCCACGCTGGCCTCGAGTCGGCCTCTCCAGGGCTCGCTCCTGCTCCCGGCGGCCCCTGCGGGCCCAACTCGTCGCCCAGTCGGTTTCCGCCGGCCCAGCTCCTGCCTCTCCATGGCTTCTCCAGCAGCCAGACTTTCTCCGGTCAGCCTTCCAGGCCCAGCTCCTCCTGCCTGCCACTGGCCTCTTGAGGCCCAGCCCCGCTCACGCCTCTGGGCGGCCTCCTCAGGCCCAGGACTTGACCTCCAGTCGGCCTCGCCAGGCCCAGCCTCCTGCTTCCCGAAGGCCTGCACGGGCTCAGCCTCTGCCTCCCAGCAGACTGTCCACGCCCAGCTCTCGCCTGACTGCGGCCTCCCCAGGCCAGAGGTCCTCCTGCCTTTCGGCAGCTCCGCCGGGCCCCGCTCCTGCCTCCCAGTGGCCTCCTTAGGCCGGGCTCATTCGTCAAGGGGCACGGCCTTCCCAGGCCCAGCCTTTGCCTTTTGGCAGCCTCCCCAGGCCCCGACCTTCCTCAGGCCGGCCTCTCCAGGCCCAGTTGCAGCCTCCCGGCCTCCCATCCAGGCCCAGCTCCTCCTGTTCCCGGCTGCGGCCGCGGGCCCAGCCCCGGCCTCACGACAACCTCTTTGGACTCTGCTCCGGCCCTGCTCCCGCTCCGCGGCCTTTGTAGGCCCCAAACGGCCTGAAGCCCGGCCCCAGGGTGGCCTCTCCGGGCCCGGCTCTTGCCTTCCGACAGCGTCTCCTCGCCCCCGAACTTGCTCCAGCCAGCCTCTGCAGGCCCAGCTCCTCCTGCCGGCGGCCTCTGCAGGCCTACGCTGGCCTCGAGTCGGCCTCTCCAGGGCTCGCTCCTGCTCCCGGCGGCCCCTGCGGGCCCAACTCGTCACCCAGTCGGCCTCCGCCGGCCCAGCTCCTGCCTCTCTGTGGCCTCTGCAGCTGCCAGACTTCCTCAGGTCAGCCTCTCCAGGCCCAGCTCCTCCTGCCTGCCACTGGCCTCTTCAGGCCCAGCCCGGCTCACACCTCTGGACGGCCTCCTCAGGCCCAGGACTTGACCTCCATTCGGCCTCGCCAGGCCCAGCCTCCTGCCTCCCGAAGGCCTGCACAGGCGCAGCCTCTGCCTCCCAGCGGACTCTCCACGCCCAGCTCTCGCCTGACTGTGGCCTCCCCAGGCCAGAGCTCCTCCTGCCTTTCGAGAGCTCCGCCGGGCCCCGCTCCTGCCTCCCAGTGGCCTCACTAGGCCCCGCGCATTCGCCATGGGGAACGGCCTTTCCAGGCCCAGTCTTTGCCTTTTGGCGGCCTCTCCAGGCCCCGAACTTCCACAGGACAGGCTCTCCAGGTCCCGTTGTGGCCTCCCGGCCTCCCGTCCGGGCCCAGCTCCTCCTGCTCCTGGCTGGGGCCGCGGGCCCTACACCGGCCTCACGACAACCTCTTTGGACTCGGCTCCGGCCCAGCTCCTGCTCCGCGGCCTTTGTAGACCCCAAACGTCCTGAAGCCGGGCCCCACGGTGGCCTCTCCGGGCCCGGTTCCTGCCCTCCGACGGCGTCTCCACGCCCCAGACTTCCTCCAGCCAGCCTCTCCAGGCCCAGCTCCTCCTCCCGGCGGCCTCTGCAGGCCCACGCTGGCCTCGAGTCGGCCTCTCCAAGCTGGTTCCTGCTCCCGGCGGCCCCTGCGGGCCCAACTCGTCACCCAGTCGGCCTCCGCCGGCCCAGCTCCTGCCTCTCTGTGGCCTCTGCAGCTGCCAGACTTCCTCAGGTCAGCCTCTCCAGGCCCAGCTCCTCCTGCCTGCCACTGCCTTCTTGAGTCCCAGCCCCGCACTCGCCTCTGGGTGGCCTCCTCAGGCCCAGGACTTGACCTCCAGTGGCCTTGCAAGGCCCAGCCTCCTGCTTTCTGAAGGCCTGCACAGGCCCAGCCTCTGCCTCCCAGCGGACTCTCCACGACCAGCTCTCGCCTGACTGCGGCCTCCCCAGGCCAGAGCTCCTCCTGCCTTTCGGCAGCTCCGCCGGGCCCCGCTCCTGCCTCCCAGTGGCCTCACTAGCCCCGCACATTCTTCACGCTGAACGGCCTTTGCAGGCCCAGCGTTTGCCTTTTGGCGGCCTCTCCAGGCCCCGAACTTCCTCAGGGGGGCCTTTCCAGGCCCCGTTGCAGCCTCCCGGATTCCCGTCCAGGCCCAGCTCCTCCTGCTCCAGGCTGCGGCCGCGGGCCCAGCCCAGCCCCGGCCTCACGTCAACCTCTTTGGACTCGGCTCCGGACCAACTCCCGCTCCGCGGCCTTTGTAGGCCCGAAACGTCCTGAAGCCGGGTCCCACGGTGGCCTCTCCGGGCCTGGGTCCTGCCCTCCTTCGTCGTCTCCACGCACCAGACTTCCTCCAGCCAGCCTCTCCAGGCCCCGCTCCTCCTGCCTACCACTGGCCTCTTGAGGCCCAGCCCCGCTCACGCCTCTGGGCGGCCTCCAGAGGCCGAGGACAAGACCTCCCGTGGGCCTCGCCAGGCCCAGCCTCCTGCCTCCCGAAGGCCTGCACAGGCCCGGCCTCTGCCTCCCAGCGGACTCTCCATACCCAGCTCTCGCCTGACTGCGGCCTCCCCAGACCACAGCTCCTCCTGCCTTTCGGCAGCTCCGCCGGGCCACGCTCCTGCCTCCCAGTGGCCTCACTAGGCCCCGCGCATTTGTCATGGGGAATGGCCTTTCCAGGCCCAGCCTCTGCCTCTTGGCTGCCTCTCCAGGCCCCGAACTTCCTCAGGCCGGCCTCTCCAGGCCCCGTTGCGGCCTCCCGGCCTCCTGTCCAGACCCAGCTCCTCCTGTTCCCGGCTGCGGCCGCGGGCCCAGCCCCGGCCTCACGACAACCTCTTTGGACTCGGCTCCGGCTCAGCTGCCGCTCCGCGGCCTTTGTAGGCCCCAAACGTCCTGAAGTCGGGCCCCACGGTGGCCCGGCTCCTGCCCTCCGACGGCGTCTCCACGGCCCAGACTTCCTCCAGCCAGCCTCTCCAGGCCCAGCTCCTCCTCCCGGCGGCCTCTACAGGCCCACGCTGGCCTCGAGTCGGCCTCTCCAGGGCTCGCTCCTGCTCCCGGCGGCCACTACGGGCCCAACTTGTCGCCCAGTCGGCCTCCGCCGGCCCAGCTCCTGCCTCTCTGCGGCCTCTTCAGCTGCCAGACTTCTTCAGGTCAGCCTCTCCAGGCCCAGCTCCTCCTGCCTGCCACTGCCCTCTTGAGTCCCAGCCCCGCTCACGCCTCTGGGTGGCCTCCTCAGGCCCAGCACTTGATCTCCAGTGGGCCTCGCCAGGCCCAGCCTCATGCCTCCCGAAGGCCTGCACAGGCCCAGCCTCTCCCTCCCAGCGGACTCTCCACGCCCAGCTCTCGCCTGACTGCGGCCTCCCCAGGCCAGAGCTAGTCCTGCCTTTCGGCAGCTCCGCCGGGCCCCACTCCTGCCTCCCAGTGGCCTCACTAGGCCCCGCGCATTCTTCACTGGTAATGGCCTTTCCAGGCCTAGCCTTTGCCTTTTGGCGGTCTCTCCAGACCCCGAACTTCCTCTGGCCGGCCCCTCCAGGTCCCGTTGCGGCCTCCCGGACTCCCGTCCACGCTCAGCTCCTCCTGCTCCCGGCTGGGGCCGCGGGCCCTACCCCGGCCTCACGACAACCTCTTTGGACTCGGCTCCGGACCAGCTCCCGCTCCGCGGCCTTTGTAGGCCCAAAACGTCCTGAAGCTGGGTCCCACGGTGGCCTCTCCGGGCCCGGCTCCTGTCCTCCGACGGCGTCTCCACGACCCAGACTTCCTCCAGCCAGCTTCTCCAAATCCAACTCCTCCTCCCGGCGGCCTCTGCAGTCCCACGCTGGCCTCGAGTCGGCCTCTCCAGGGCTCGCTCCTGCTCCCGGCGGCCCCTGCGGGCCCAACTCGTTGCCCAGTCGGCCTCCGCCGGCCCAGCTCCTGCCTGTCCGTGGCCTCTCCAGCTGCCAGACTTCCTCAGGTCAGCCTCTCCAGGACCAGCTCTTCCTGCCTGTCACTGGCCTCTTGAGGCCCAGCCCCGCTCACGCCTCTGGGCGACCTCCTCAAGCCCAGGACTTCACTTCCAGTCCGCCTCACCAGGCCCAGCCTCTTGCCTCCCGAAGGCCTGCACAGACCCGGCCTCTGCCTCCCAGCGGGCTCTCCACACCTAGCTCTCGCCTGACTGCGGCCTGCCCAGGCCAGAGCTCCTCCAGCCTTTTGGCATCTCCGCCAGGCCCCGCTCCTGCCTCCCAGTGGCCTCATTAGGCCCAGCTCATTCTTCACGGGGAACCGCCTTTCCAGGCCCAGCCTTTGCCTTTTGTGGCCTCTCCAGGCCCAGAACTTTCTCAGGCCGGCCTCTCCAGGCCCAGTTACGGCCTCCCAGCCTCCTGTCCAGGCCCAGCTCCTCATGCTCCCAGCTGCGGCCGCAGGCCCTGCTCCGGACTCCCAACAACTTCTTTGGACTCGGCTGCAGCCCAGCTCATGCTCAGCGGCCTTTTTAGGCCCCAAACGTCCTGAAGCCGGGCCCCATGGTGGCCTCTCCCGGCCCGGCTCCTGCCCTCCGATGACGTCTCCATGCCCCAGACTTCCTCCAGCCAGCCTCTCCAGGCCCATCTCTTCCTCCTGTCGGCCTGTGCTGGCCCGTATTGTCCTCGAGTCGGCCTCTCCGGGGCTCGCTCCTACCCCTGGCGGCCCCTGCAGGCCCAACTCGTCCTCCAGTCGGCCTCCGACGGCCCAGCTCCTGCCTCTCCATGGCCTCTCCAGCTGCTAGACTTCCTCAGGTTAGCCTCTCCAGGCCCAGCTCCTCCTGCCTGCCACTGGCCTCTTGAGGCCCAGCCCCGCTCATGCCTCTCGGCGGCCTCCTCCGTCCCTGGACTTGACCTCCAGTCGGCCTCTCCAAGACCAGCCTCCTGCCTCCCGAAGGGCTGCACAGGCCCAGCCTCTGTCTCCCAGCGGACTCTCCACCCCTAGCTCTCTCCTCACTGCGGCCACCACAGGCCAGAGCGCCTCCTGCTTCTCCGCTGCTCCGACCGGCCCTGCTCCTGCCTCCCAGTGGCCTCTTTTTACCGAGCTCATTTTTCACGGGGAATAGCCTCTCCAGCCCCCGTCTTTGCCTTTTGGTGGCCTCTCCAGGGCCAGACGTTTTTTAAGCCGGCCTCTCCAGACCCAGTTGCTGCGTCTCATCATCCCCTTCTTGCCCAGGTCTTCCTCCCAGTTTTGGCTGGTGCTTAAATTTTTCCTCACCACAATCTGTTTGGACTCAACTCCTGTCCAGCTCCTCGTGGCCATTTAGCCCGAGAAGTTTCTCAAGTCCAGCCCTCCAATTTCACTACCTTACTTGTGGCAGCATGAGCTGTCACAGCTTTTGCCTGACTATTTCTTCTCCAAGCTGCCTTAGCATTCTCACATTGGTGTTTCTAGGCCCAGATGCTGCATTTTGCTTTTTTCACGTTGCCCGTCTCTTTCCTTGTGCCTGCCTCCCAAGTCCCAGCTCCTGTCTTATTGTGTTGTGTGTTATACTAGCTCCTGTCTCACGATGGCCTCTTCTGGCCCACCTTCGGCGTTATAGTGGACAGTCAAGCCCATCCTCTGCCTCTTCGTGGCCTTTTCTCCCTTTCCTCTTGCCCCACAGTCACCTCTTCTGGATCCATCTTTTTAATCTTTGGTGGTCCAGAGTATCAAGGAACCCAAAGCTTCTCTGGACTCTTATTTATTGGTAACTTTAAAGCAGAGTGCTTTAGCAAAACACCTGCCTCTTCTTTTAACCTTGACAATGGATTTGTGACAAATTTATAATAAATTCTACCTGCGTGGTTTCATACTGAGTTTTGTTTTATTTAGTGTCTCATCATTTTTCTTTTCTTTTTTTGGTGGGAATGGGAATGAGCCTCTGCTCGGGCCCTTTTTCTTCACTCTGGACATGGTAGCTTCTCACTTCATGTGTTCTGTATTTATGTTGTTTACAGTTACTTTTTTTTAGGGTCTTGCTCTGTCACCCAGGCTGGAGTGGAGTCGTGTGATCATGGCTTACTGCAGCCTTGGCCTTTTGGCCTGAAGTAATTCTCCCAACTCAGCATCTTGAGTAGCTGATACTACAGGCACATGCCACCATGCCTGGCTAATTTCTGATTTTTTCTGAGAGATTGGTTCTCACTATGTTGCTCAGGCTGTTCCCAGACTTTTGGACACAAGCAATCCTTTTGCCTGAGCCTCCCAAAGTGCTGAGATTACAAGCATAAACTACCATACCTGGCTTGCTATTTGCTTGTCATGAACTATTAAGAGTTTGCTTTTTGATTAATATACTATTTCTGTATAGATTTATGTAGATATAGACAGTTTAAATTTTTCATGGATACCAATTTTTTCCCTTTCTTTGAGGCAAAGTACCACTTTTCCTTCAGGATTTAGTGCAGTGGTATAATCCCGGCTTACCACAACCTCTTCTTTCTTGGCTTAAGTGATCCTCCCCCCTCAGCCTGCTGAGTAGCTGGGATCCCAGGTTCGAGCTGCCATAGCCAGGTAATTTGTATATTTCTTGTAGAGAGGGGGTCTCACCGTGTTTCCCAGGCTGGTTTCAAACTCCTGGACTCAAGCGATCCTCCCCCCTCAGCCTCTTACAGTGCTGGGACCACAGGTGGGAGCCACCACTCCTGGCCTACCATTTTCTTTTCATGGATCATTAAGAATTTACTTTATGCCAGCACAGTGACTCACGCCTATAATCCCAGCACCTTAGGAGGATGAGGTGTGTGGATTACGAGGTCAGGAGTTCAAGACCAGCCTGTCCAAGGTGGTGAAACCCCATCTCTACCAAAAGTTAGCCAGGTGTGGTGGCAGGTGCCTATAATCCCAGCTACTCCAGAGGGTGAGGCAGGAGAATTGCTTGAATCTGGGATGCGGAGGTGGCAGTGAGCTGAGATTATGCCACTGCACTCCAGCCTGGGTGACAGAGTGAGACTCTATCTCAAAAAAAAAAAAATTACTTTTTTTTAGTATAATGTAAATATATAAATATGAGTGTGTATGTATTCGTATGTGAATATATGTGTGTATATATTTTCATAGCATACACACATGCACATATACAGTGTGAAATAGATATTTAATACCTAGAAATTGATAAGCTTCTTCCTGGTTTTGAAACCACCTTTAGCACAAACACGAAAGAAGTACAAACTATCATTATTAATGACAATGGACCAAGATGACCGTGAGTCAATAGTACTTTGCAACTCAACCACCTTCCAGCAGAGCATCTCAAAGGGCTGGGTATATCTGAAAATCACACCCTTTCACATAGACTAGGATGATTTGTAATTCTAACTTATTTTAAGACCTCATTGTGATCCTTGTCAGAATGAAATCAAACCATTTCTCAAATCACAGAGATACTGAATAACAGGTTTGGTCAGGAAACAGGTATTGCATTTGGTTGTCATGACAAGCTCCTGGCCTAGGCAGATGGAATATAGCAGAAATGTGTGTGTGTGAACATTCTTGCTCACAGATGTGGCTGAGGAAGTGGGGGGTAGAATTTGATAAAACCAGCAGGGAGCAGGCTTCTGGGAAGAGGGCACTTGTTTTGGCAGCAGCTGTGTAACTCTAGAATGAACAAAGGCTTGTAATCCACAGTTTTTCCTCCTGGAAAATAAAGATTATAATTCTTGCCTTGATATGTGGACTATGTGATTTGCTATATGCAAAATATCTAGTATATAATAGGTGCTGAATTAATATTACTTTCTGTGGCTCATTCTTAATCACTGCTTAATTTTAAAAAGTTTAGAATGACTATTGCTTTGTAAAATTGTTGTAGTTTTTTTTTTTTTTTTTTTGAGACGGAGTCTGGCTCTGTCACCGGGGCTGGAGTGCAGTGGCCGGATCTCAGCTCACTGCAAGCTCCGCCTCCCGGGTTTACGCCATTCTCCCGCCTCAGCCTCCCGAGTAGCTGGGACTACAGCGCCCGCATCGCGCCGGCTAGTTTTTGTATTTTTAGTAGAGACGGGGTTTCACCGTGTTAGCCAGATGGTCTCGATCTCCTGACCTCGTGATCCGCCGCTCGGCCTCCCAAAGTGCTGGGATTACAGGCTTGAGCCACCGAGCCCGGCCTGTTTGTAGTTATTATATAAAATCTAAGTCCTATAGAAAAGTACAAAGCAGGCCGGGTGCTATACCTTACACCTGTCATCCCAACACTTTTGAAAGGCAGGGTAGAAGGATTGCTCAAGGCCAGGAGTATGAGACCAGCATGAGGAACATAGCAAGATCTCATCTCTATAAAAAATTAAAACCCAGTTATAATATGCACCTGTAGTCTCAGGTACTCGGGAGGCTGAGGCATGTGGATCACTAGAACCCAGGAGTTTGAGACTGCAGCCTACGTAACAGAGTGAGACCCTGTCAGAGAGAGGGAGGGGGAGAGAGAGAGAAGAGAGAGAGAGAAAAAAAAAAAGTACAAAGAAGCCAGTAATAAATCATGAAATTTTCAGCCACCAAGAAATAACTCAACATTAAGTGATATTGCCAGGCCTGGTAGCCCATGCCTGGCTGAGGCACAAGAATCACTTGAGCCTCGGAGGCAGAGGTTGCAGTGAGTCAAGATTACATCATTCCACTCCAGCCTGGGCAACAGAGACAGACTCTGTCTCGGAAAAAAAAAAAAAAAAGTTGATAATTTATACCTCTTTTTTTGCAAATAGGTAGTTAGGTAAGTTGATATATTAATGCATTAAAAATAACTTTGCCTGGTATGGTGGCTCAGGCCTGTAATCTCAGCACTTTGAGAGGCCAAGGTGGGCAGATCATGAGGTCAGGAGTTAGAGATAATCCTGGCCAACATAGTGAAACACTGACTCTACTAAAAATACAAAAATTAGCTGAGCATGGTGATGGGTGCCTGTAATCCCATCTTCTTGGGAGGGTGAGGCAGGAGAATCGCTTGAACCTGGGAGGCGTAGGTTAGATTGAGCTGAGATCACACCACTACACTCCAGCCTGGCAACAGAGCGACACTCTAAAAAAAAACAAATGACTTTACGTATTTTGTATGTGTTTTAGTTCAAATATATATAACTTTCATTTTGCTTGATACAACAGAAGCTGAAGAAACTAAAGTAAGAAGCTGAAGAAACTAAAGTAAGGTGGGAGAAATTCTGAACTTCAGATAAATGCCTATGTGAAAGTGATATCTTTTTATTCAACATTCATTAAAATTATGAAAAAAGATAATAAAAGTATCATGATTCTTTTTAATCTGCAGTTTCTATTTTTACCTACAGCTGCTGTATTTTTTGAATTGGTGCATGTTTGAGAGTTTCTGTTTAATGCGTTTGTACTTGGATAGCTATTTCTTTTTATTTTTATTATTTATTTATTTATTTATTTATTTACTTTTTGAGACAGAATCTTGCTCTGTCGCCCAGGCTGGAGTACACTGGGGCGATCTCGTCTCAGTGTAACCTCCGCCTCCCGGGTTCAAGCGATTCTCCTGCCTCAGCCTCCTGAGTAGCTGGGATTACAGGTGCACACTACCACGCTTGGAAATTTTTGTTTTTTAGTAGAGATGATGCTTCACCATCTTGACCAGGCTGGTCTCGAACTCCTGACCTCAGGTGATCTGCCCGCCTCGGCCTCTCAAAGTGCTGGGATTGCAGGCGTTCAGCCATCGCGCCTGGCCTGGGAGAATATTCTTGATTCATTTTCCTTTTCTTCAGTTTTTCCTTTAACTTCTGACTTTATTGTCATCTAGCTTTGGCTGGGGTTATGGGAAGCTCTGAGGCTGGCTGGAGGTTCTTCCCACATGTACTTATGTTTTCCTGCCCAAAGGCCACTGGAATACTTTCTTTATCATTGAAATTCAATAGTTTAGCCAGGGTTGGCTCCAGGCCAGTCATTCTGTACTAGTTTTTCCAGGTATACGGTTTGCCCTTTGATTACTATGTACTTCTCTATCTCTGCACACAATCTTCTCTTTCTTTCTTTCTTTCTCTTTCTTTCTTTCTTTCTTTCTTTCTCTTTCTCTTTTTCTTTCTTTTCCTTCCTCCTTCCTTCCTTCCTTCCTTCCTTTCTTTCTTTCTCTTTCTTTTCTTTCTTTCTCCTTCTTTCCTTTTCCTTCCTTCTTTCCTTCTTTTCTTTCTTTCATTGTTTTTTTCTCTCTCAACAGGAAAAAAAAAATCTAATAATCTGATTTTAAAATGGACAAAAGATCAGAATAGACATTTCTCAAAAGAAGACATACAAATGACAAATGGGTATTTGAAAATGTGCTCAACATCATTGATCATCAGAGAAACAGAAATCAAAACTACAATGAGCTATCATCCCACCCCAGTTAAAAATGCTTTATATCCAAAAGACAGGCAATAACAAATTCTATTGAGTATGTGGAGAAAAGGGAACCCTGGTACACTGTTGGTGGGAATGTACATTAGTACAACCACTACAGAGAACGGTTTGGAGCGTCCTCAAAAGGCTAAAAGTAGAGCTACTTTATAATCCAGTAATCCTACTGCTAAGTATATATCCCAAAGAAAGAAAATCAGTATATTGAAGAAATATCTGCATTTCTGCATTTATTGCAACACTATTCACAATAGCTAAGACTGGAAGCAATCTAAGTGTATATCAACAGGTAAATGGATAGAGAAGATGTGTTACATACACACAATGGAGTATTATTCAGCCATGAGAAAGAATAGAATCCTGTTATTTGCGGCAACGTGGGTAGAACTGAAGATCATTATGTTAATTAAAATAAGCCAGACACAGAAATGCAAATTTTGCATGTTCCCAGTCATTTGTGGGTGCTACAAATTAAAACAATTGAACTCAAAAATAGAGAGTAGAATGATGATTACCAGAATCTGGGAAGGGTAGTGGGCTGGAGGGGGTGCACAGGAATCATTAATGGGTACAAAAATACAGTTAGAATGAATAAGATGTAGTATTTGGTAGTACAACAGGGTGACTGTAGTAAACAATAATTTATTGCATATTTAAAAATAGCTAAAAGAGGTCAGATGTGGTGGCTTATGTTTGTAATCCCAGCACTTTGGGACGCCAGCGTGACCAACATGGCAAAACCCAGTCTCCACTAAAAATACAAAAATTGGCCAAGTGTGATGGCACACACCTGTAGTCCCAGCTACGCAGGAGGCTGAGGCAGGACAATCGCTTAAACCTGGATGAGGGGGGTGGAGGTTGCAGTGAGCCAAGATCGCACCACTGCACTCCAACGCAGGTGACAGAGATAGACTCCATCTCAAAACAAAACAAACAAAACAAAGCAAAAAAGCGATAAGAGCATAATTGGATTATTTGTAAAGCAAAGAAAGGACAAACGCTTAAGGTGATGGGTATCCCAGTAACCCTCCTGTGATTATTACACATTACATGCCTGTATCAAAACATCTCATGCACCCCATAAATATATATACCTACTAAGTACCCACAAAAATTAAAAGTAAAGCATTTAAAACTCCCTATCTTGGCCAGATGTGGGACATCCACCTGTAATGCCAGTGTTTTTTGGGGCCAGGATGGGATGATCACTTGAGTCTGGGAGTTTGAGACCGAGACCCACCTAGGCAACATAACAAGACTCCTGTCTCTAATAATAAAAAACTTAGCCAGGCATGGTGGGGCTCATGCCAGTAGTCCCAGCTCCTTGGGAGGCTGAGACAACAGGATCCCTTGAACCCGGGAGGTTGAGGCTGCAGTGAGCTATGATTGCCCCACTGCACTCCAGCCTGGGTGATAGAGCGAGACCATGTCTCTTAAAAAAACAAACCAATCCTAGCATGATCTGACCCTGCCTGCCACCCTCTATTCTTTTCCTCTTGCTCATTGTGCAGCAGGCATCTGGGCTGCTTTTCTACTCCTGTAAATGCCAAGTGGTTTCCCTCTTCAGGACCTTTGCACATGCTCTCCCCTGCCCGAAATGGACTTCCCATACCTCCTGCTGAAGCTGGATATTTCTCATGTTTCAGACCTCAGCTCCCATATCACCTTGGCAGAGAAATCCTCCCTCATCCTGTGGAGGGGGAATCATCCTGCTTTTCATTGCCTCCTCCTGCCGGGTTTTCCCAAAGCAGATATCACACTCAAAATTCAGCTTGCTATTTATTGAATTGCTTGTCTGTATGTCCTCCTCCCAAACTCACACCAAATCAGAACAGAGGCTCCCTGCGGCAGGAGTCCCATCTTATTCACTCTCAGAACCTAATACAGTACTTGGCACATAGTAGGCACACAATAAATGTCATTAGAATGAATAAGTATCAAGGGGCCGGCTGTAGTGGTTCATGCCTGTAACCCCAGCATTTTGAGAGGCCGAGGCAGATGGATCACCTCGGGTTAGGAGTTCGAGACCAGCCTGGCCAACATGGTGAAACCTCGTCTCTGCTAAAAATACAAAAATTAGCTGGGCATGGTGGTGCACACTTGTAATCCCAACTACTGGGGAGGCGGAGGCAAGAGAACCACTTGAATCTGGGAGGTGGATATTGCAGTGAGCTAAGATTGTGCAACTACACTCCAGCCTGAGTGACAGAGTGAGACTCCATCTCAAAAAATAAATAAATAAAAAGAACAAAAAAAGAATGAATAAGTATCAAGGAAGGAAGATTTTGTGATTTGCCATCTTTACATGGAAATCCTGCTTAACATTGACATTTTCTATTTGATGGTATTTCTATAATAAGAAATTGAAACTGAGCTAATTGAAAGAGAATGAGTTTGGGCACGGTGACTCATGCCTCGAATTCTAGCACTTTGGGAGGCTGAAGGGGTAGGATCATGTGAGGGTAACATTTCGAGACCAGCCTGGGCAACGTACAGAGAACCCTGTCTCTGCAAAAATAACATTTAAAAACTGAACCAGGTGTGCCAGGTGCAGTGGCTCATGCCTGTAATCCCAGCACTTTGGGAGGTTGAGGCTGGTGGATCACCTGAGGTCAGGAGTTCAAGACCAGTCAGGCCAACATAGTGAAACCCCATCCCTACTTAAAATACAAAAATTAGCCAGTGTGATGGCGAATGCCTGTATTTCCAGCTACTTGGGAGGCTGAGACAGGAGAATTGCTTGAACCTGGGAGGCAGAATTTGTAGTGAGCTGAGATCAGGCCATTGCACTCCAGCCTGGATAGCAAGAGAAAAACTTCATCAGATGTGGTGGCACGAGCCTGTAGTGCCAGTTCTCAGGAGGCTGAGAGGGGAGAATCACTTGAGCCCAGGAGATAGAGGCTGCAGTGAGCCATGGTTGCTCCACTGCACTCCAGCCTGAGGGACAGAACTAGACCTTATAGCAAAAAACAAAAAACAAAATAATCAAATGAAAAAAACCAGGCACGGTGGCTCAAGCCTGTAATTCCAGGACTTTGGGAGGCCAAGGCGGGTGAATCACCTGAGGTAAGGAGTTCAAGTCCAGCCTGGCCAACATGGTGAAACACTGGATGTCTCCAGCCCACAGCCAGAGAGAACCTGAGGCCTGCCAGCAGCCACGGAAGGGGGTTTGAAAGAGGATTCTGAAGCCTTGAGAGAGCTGCAGCCCTGGCTGACAGCTCGATTGTATCCTGGTGAGAGCCTGAGCCAGAGGACACAGCTAACCTCACCCAGATTCCTAGCCCATGGAAACTGTGAGAAAAAAAAAAGTTTATTGTTTATTAAGCTGCTGAATTGGGAGCAATTTTTACCCAACAAGAGATAACGATTACAAGGATATTGCTTATTACTCAAAATCACTACATAAAGCCCCTGAAAAATTGAAAGCTGCAACCAGGGAAACACTGAAAATCTCCAAGAACACTGTGTTTCTTCTTGAAGACAGTGAGAAAGCATATACATTTGTTTCCCTTTTAGTTTTGGCCACCAGGAAGCTCAGAGCCAAATTTACGATGCAATTTTAATAATTTTGTAAGCCCCTATAGCCTGCTTATCTGTGTTCTGATTCCTGGCCTTTCATTTTATTCTGACTTTTGGTTTTCTTTGTCCTGATTGTATTAGCTCATCTTTATATTTTTCTATATGATTTGAATTATGGCAAACCACCTCAAATTCAGCTTATAGAGAAGCAAGGCATTCATAAGTTGTTGTTGTTGTTGTTGAGTCTTTCACTCTATCACCCAGACTGGAGTGTAGTGGCACGATCTCTGCCTCCTGGGTTGCAGCAATTCTCATGCCTCAGCCTCCCGAGTAGCTGGGATTACAGGCGCCCACCACTACACTCGGCGTTTTTTTTTTTTTTTATTAGAGATGGGGGTTTCACTATGTAGACCAGGCTGGTCTCGAACTCCTGACCTCAAGTGATCCACCTGCCTCAGCCTCCCAAAGCGTTGGGATTACAGGCTGTGAGCCACCCCGCCAGCCCATAAATCATTTTGTAAAAACAGTTTTTTAATTCAAAACATACTTTTGCACATTAAAAAAAAAAAGTTTTGCACAGGTTGAACACAGAGTGCCCAGAGTTGGTAGTGGGAAGATGAGGTCATAGGAGTGTGGCTCTAAATTTCCGAGCATTGCCAGGGTTGATTTGGATTGGGTCAGAAATATCAACTGATAACGACGAAAAAGGGAAAAAGGATGACAATCCAGAGGGAGGGGCCGAGGCCTACCCCAGTCACCCACAGTAGCATCCTTGCAATGTGTTCCTTGCACCGGTCCCCTAAGTCCCTCCCGCGCTAGCCTCCCGGTCCCGCCCGGCCCCGCCCCTCCTGGGCCCTGCCCCTCCAGACCCCGCCCTTCTCCGCCCCGCCCCTCTCTCGCCCGGGCCCCACCCCTTCCCGGGCCCCACTCCTGGAGCGCACCTTTCCCGCGCCCGCCTCAGTCTTTGCCGGCCATCCGGCCTCCCGGCGGTTGCGTGCTCCGCCCCCTCCCTCCGCGACGGCGCTCGCCTTCCCCGCCCCGCAGGCCTCACTCGGTTCAGGGCGGTTGGCCGCACGCCTGTCGGGGCGGGGCTGGAGCGGGCGACCGAGCCAATGGGGCGCGGCGGCGGCGGCGGTGGCTGTTGCGGTGGCTGTTGCGGTGGCTGTTGCGGTGGCGGCTGTGTGGGACCCAGACGGGCTGAGATGCAGGCAGAGGGAGGCGGAGGAAGGCGGTGTCGGCGGCAGCGGCGGAGGGAGGAAGGTGGCGGCGCCCGTCCTGCTGAGAGTGTCGGTGCGGCGGTGGGAGAGAGTAACCGACATGCAGTGTGCCTCGCCGCCGGGATCCTGCTCTCCATCTGCGCCTACCATGTGGAGCTGGAGAAGAAGCGGGACCACGGGCCCTCTGCGACCTGGGACCGTGGATGAAGTGCTCCGCTGCGCTTGCCTCCAGGTAGCCGGCGTTGGGGAGTGGGGCCGGGAGCGGCCGAGCGGGGCGAGCGCGGAGGCCGAGGCCGGGGAGCGCGCGGCTGGAGCTCGGGACTGGAGGCCGCGGGGACCGGGCCGCGCGGGGGACTGACGTGGTCGGGCCGGGCGGGGGGCCACCCGAGCCCAGGTCGCGGGGAGGAGGTGGCGGTGCCGCGAGGCAGCCGGGGAGGAATGAGGTGGCAGAGTGCAGCCGGGAGGCCGGGGCAGAAGGGGAGCGGTCGGGCGGGCTGGGGCCGGGCTGGGCAGGAGCGCGAGGGGTCTGCGGAGGTTGGGTCTCGGCCGGCTTGACAGGTTTCCTGGTTCTCGGGAGGCGGCCGGGGGTGTGGGACCCTGTCCGCCGCACCCGCGAGACCAGCGGCCACCTCTTGTCCCCACCATCGCTGCAGCCGATGCTCTGGGGCGGGCTCCGACCCAAGGAGGGTTGCATTTCCCGCTGTCTTCGTGATGCTGGGTCAGGTGTTTCCGTGGTCAGGCCTCTTTGTACTCCAGCGCTGGTGAGAATTTGCAGACTTACTGGGAGGGTGACATTTGCGGATAAACACGAATTTGACCCTATTCTGGAAGAAGTTTCCGGCACTTAACATATCTGATTTCTTGGATTCCCCCTCGTATATTTCAGTGTGCCAGGAAGGGGGAAATGGTCTGAGTTCGAGTCTAGTTTAAGCTTCATTGGAGTAAAGGACAAGTATGTTATGTTTATGGCGGTGTTTTAGGCATTGGGATGACTTTTTTTTTTTTTTTTTTTTTTTTTTTGAGACGGAGTCTCGCTCTGCCGCCCAGGCTGGAGTGCAGTGGCCGGATCTCAGCTCACTACACGCTCCACCTCCCGGGTTCACGCCATTCTCCTGCCTCAGCCTCCCGAGTAGTTGGGACTACAGGCGCCCGCCACCGCGCCCGGCTAGTTTTTTGTATTTTTTAGTAGAGACGGGGTTTCACCGTGTTAGCCAGGATGGTCTCGATCTCCTGACCTCGTGATCCGCCCGTCTCGGCCTCCCAAAGTGCTGGGATTACAGGCTTGAGCCACCGCGCCCGGCCTGGGATGACTTTTAAACATTGTTGCTTATTAATATAATAGGATACCCATAACGGATTAAAAACACACGCTTTGCTATACTGGAGCTATTGGTTTGGTTGCTGATCATTTTATTTTATTTTTTTTTAATGTTGTAATTGGTTTGTCTGTTAGGTTTTATTTTAATGCATTAAATTTCCCTAGGCAACTTACTTTGAAAAAGGGGGGAATTTACATTTTAAAAGAGGCTCCTTTTTTTTCTTTTATGGGGTGATTAAAAACATAACAAAAGTCGAAGGAATGATTTCAAAATTGGTAGGTTAGGATTTTAATAGAGACTATGTCTGATATTTAGATGTTTGTTAACAGTAGTCACATTTGAGCGATTTCTTCCCCTCCTGTTGATTGGTAAATTGGTATGTATCAGAAATGTATAGCTCACTAGTTTATTTCGACTCACATATTGTTGATTACATAACAAGGTAGCATTGGTGTCTTGTTATTGGTTACAAACTTTAGGGAGCTGATCTTTCCACTTAGCTTTTTTCATAGACCAGATACTCTCTCGTTTGCTCTTAAACAAAAATCGTGTCGCTTTTTACAGGGGAAATAATTATCATAGGGCCAAATGAAACATTTTAAAAATGCATTTAAAATGTAGGTATCAGGTTACAGGGGAAAATACACGGATGTGACAAAAAGCTCACATTTGTTGTTGGTTATTTAGACCAAGGTTAATAGGCTGATTAGACTCTCAGATACTCTTGAGAACCATTGAGTGTCTTTTATGCAAATATTTTTATGTTATTTCCACTGTCAGAAAGGACTTTTAAACTTGTAAGTACCTTCCACCCAAAGTTAGTTGAATGAATAAATACATAAGAAAAACATGTAGCAACACATTTCAAGTATTTAAGAAACAAGAAGAGCTAAAAATAACTTTTGATCCTAGTTTAATATGGAATTTAAGCAGAATTTTTACCAATTTTTGATTTTTTTTTCAAACAAGTAGTCTATATTAGATGGACCTTTTAACATTGGGGCATGGAAAGAATACTTTACTGTATGCTTAAGTTGTTTTATTTTTTGAGAGGGAGTCTTGCTCTTGTCGCCCAGGCTGGAGTGCAATGGCGCGATCTTGGCTCGCTGCAAACCTCCGCCTCCAGGATTCAAGCGATTCTCCTGCCTCAGCCTCCCCAATAGCTGGGATTACAGACTCCCGCCATCATGCCAGGCTAATTTTTGTATTTTTAGTATACAGGGGGTTTCTCCATGTTGGCCAGGCTGGTCTCAAACTCCTGACTTCGGTTGATCCGCCTGCCTCCGCCTCCCAAAGTGTGGGGTTACCACGGTGAGCCACTGCGCCCGGCCTTAAGAATTTTAAGTTCTTAAAATTGCCGTTTCTTGGCTGGGCACGGTGGCTCACGCCACAATCCCTGCCCTCTGGGAGGCTGAGGCAGGCGGATCAACTGAGGTCAGGAGTTTGAGACAGGCCTGGCCAACGTAGTGAAACCCCATCTCTACTAAAAAATACAAAAATTAGCCGGGCGTGGTGGCGCATGTCTGTAGTCCCAGCTTCTCGGTAGGCTAAGGCAGGAGAATATCTTGAACCAGGAGGCAGAGGTTGCAGTGAGCCGGGATCGCGCCATTGCACTGCAGCCTGGGCGACAAGAGTGACTCCATCTCAAAAAATAAAAAATAAATAAATAAAAATAAGAATGAACTTTTCTTTAAAAAAGAGAGTTTCTAACCATTTAATAAGCATACACTCTAAGTATTCTCATAGTTATATATCCTGCAAGAGCTCTGTGTTTGTGCACCATAAAACATCAAGTAGTATATTAAAAGTATATATAAGTACATGTAAGACTAAAGGTAACTGGATCTCTTCATAGTTTTCAATGTGAATTTAATATGTTGTGACTGAAAGTGATGTTTCGTTGTATAGCTGTGGACATAAAATAGTTTAACTTAGATGCTGCTAAGGAGGACGGGGTAAAAATAAGATACGCTAATAAGAAGAGTAAATAACTTATTTGCCAGCTATACAGTGAAATTATTTTAAGAAATTTGTTCAATTTGATGAGCCTGTTTATAAACTACTTGCAAAAATCAAGTAGTTTATAAACTAATGATTTCATAAATGAATTTACAAATCAACTTGTTTTTCAAGTAGTTTATAAACAGGCTGATCAAATCACATGTGTGTATATACATATATAATCACATATATTGTACATGTATAGACTCATTTTCTTTGGGAGTTGGTAGACAAAATATTGAAAGTTTTTATTTTGTCAACCTGATAGAGACTTTAGATGAAAGCTGATTATGGAGACCTCAAGTTAGTTTATTATGATAGTGATTTGCCATGTAGCAGTACTATTCCAAATGTGACTGTTTAGGAAAAGACAGTTTGAGCCAGAGAAGTTAACAGATGAAAAAGATTCCGAAGAAAGTAATCTTCGAGGATCCAGAGTCAGCACGTGGTTTTGGATTGCTTAAACTCACTTTATTCTCACTTCACAATCCCTAAATGTCTTAACCCAAACAGAATAAGTAGAGATTAATGAGGAGAATCTTGAGGGGCATCTGTGTTTTAAGTAAAGTCCTCTATTATTCTGGGGAGGCATATGATGGGAAGTTCCAGACTTTTAGATTTCTAAAGAAATATTTCCCCAATTAGGGAGGCTACAATAGAAATGCTGATTTTTTAATTCTACCAGGTACAGGCCAATAAAAAGAGTAACACACCACTATCTCCTATCACCATCATTTCATTTAACCAAGAGGATATTTCCATTCAAACAATTTGAAAGAACAGAATCTCTCAGAATAAAAGATCTTTAAATGGGGAATCATTTAGCTCTATGGAAAAGTTTACTTTCAGACCAGCCTGGCCAACATGCTGAAAGCCCGTCTCTAGTAAAAATACAAAATTATCTGAGCGTGGTGGCATACACCTGTAATCCCAGCTACTCCAGAGGCTGAGGCAGGAGAATCACTGAAACCCTGGAGGCCGAAGTTGCGGTAAGCTGAGATCGCACCATTGCACGCCACCCTGCGTGACACAGCGAGACTCGGTCTCAAAAAAAAAAAAAAAAAAAGTTTACTTTCATGTTCTTACTATTTCCCATAAATCATTGAAAACTCTGCTGCAAACCTGCACCAGCCTGCCAGCTAACATTAAGTTAGCACTCCCTGCCCCCTTGGTTTGGTACACTGAGCTCAAATCTAAGGAATCTGTGTGGGCTTCCAGCCCTCCCAGTTCTTAGACTTGTAGCCTTATCTTCATGATGCCTCAGTTTCTTATCTTAATTAGGGATTTTAACATCTACTTAGGGCCTGGTGCAGTGGTTCACACCCATAATCCCAGCACTTTGGGAGGCTGACACCTGGCAGACCTCTTGAGCTTAGGTTTCAGACCAGCCTGGGCAACAGGGCAAAACCCTGCCTGTGCAAAAAATACAAAAGTTAACCAGACATGGTGGCGCATGCCTGTATTTCCAGCTTCTTGGGAGGCTGAGGTGTGAGGATCACTTGAGCGTGGGAGGCCGAGGTCCATAGTGAACCGTGATGGTGCCACTGCACTCCTGCCTGGTTGGTAGAGAGAGACCCTGTCTCAAAAAAGAAACAAATAAACCAAAAAAACCTACTTTGCTAGATGAGTGTTAGGATGAAAAGTGATACATGTATGTTCCTGAAATAAAGTTTGTCCTCAGTTGTAGCTGTCACCATTGATTGGAGATGTTCTTTTTTTTTCAGTGTTTGATAATAAGTGCCTTTAAGTATAATAAGTTTCTTGTATATACTTGTTTATATATTTGGATATTAATTGTTTTAATGTAGCATATTGCTGACATAAAGACGTGTTCATTTAAAACAATTTTGAAGTTGCTTTTGAAGAGAAAGTAATATGCGGAATTTTTTTTTTTTTTAGATGGAATCTTGCTCTGTCACCCAGGTTGGAGTGCAGTGGCGCGATCTCAGTTCACCTCAACCTCTGCCTCGTGCATTCAAGTGATTCTCCCATCTCAGCCTCCCGAGTAGCTGGGATTTCAGGCACCTGCCACTATGCTTGGGTAAGTTTTGTATTTTCAGTGGAGACAGGGTCTCGCCACGTTGGCCAGGCTGGTCTTGAACTCCCGACCTCAGGTGATCCACCTGCCTCAGCCTCCCAAAGTGCTGAGATTACAAGCGGCATCCACTGTGCCCGGTTTTAATATGCAAAATATTCTATGTAAGTATTTCCTGTATATTAGAGTCCCTCTACGAAGGGTTTCTATGTAAGCATAGTACAAATGATCTGGAAAGGCTCATAGACTTGGCAAATCTATGTTTCTTAAAACTATAAAAATAGTCCAGTTGTCCTATGGTATATGTATAGGACATATACTATAGGGGATTGGTTCCAGGACCCCTGTTTTTACCAAAATCCTGGCATAGTCAAGCCCCCACTGTGGGCCCTGCAGAACCTGGGTATATGAATAGTTGGGCCTCCATATATGCAGGTTTCATTCTGCATTTGGTTGAAAAAGATCCACATGTAAGTGGGCCCACACAGCTTAAACCCGTGTTGTTCAAGGGTGTACTGCATTTGAAAATCAAGTCCACAAAAAACTTGCCATGTTTACAAAATGTTGAATTTTACTACCTCCCCCATATCAAAATGTTGGATTATTACCTCTCCTGTATCTTAAAGTGCAATCTATTTACTACCCCATTGAGATAATGAGACTTTTAGAATTAGAATAGAACCTTGAGCCGGACATGTTGGTTCACACCTGTAATCCCAGCTGATGTGGGTGGGTCACTTGAGTTTAGGAGTTTGAGACCAGCCTGGCCAACACAGTGAAACCCTCTCTCTACTAAAATTGCAAAAAAATTAGCTGGGTATGGTCGTGGGTGCCTGTAATCCCAGCTACTCAGGAGGCTGAGGCAGGAGAATCGCTTGAACCTAGGAGACAGAGGTTGCAGCGAGCTGAGATCACACCACTACACTCTAGCCTGGGCAACAAGAGCCTTAAAATAAAAAAGCCGGGTATGGTGGCAGGCACCTGTAATGCCAGACAGGAAAATCACTTGAACCTGGGAGGAAGAGGCTGCAGTTAGCCGAGATTGCGCCATTGGACTCTAGCCTGGGCAACAAGAGAAAACTCCATCTACAGAAAAAAGAACGTAGAAGTATTTACTGCTCCTTGCTTTGTCTGAGATTCACAGGTTAAGTGACTTGCCCAACACAGGTTGTTGTTATCTTGGGCAGGATATCTTGGACAAATTGAGACTTGACACCTGGCTTCCAGAGTCCCCTTTGCACCCTACTGCCTGAGCCTGGAAGTTCTAGATGAGTTTGAACAACATAGTGAGGCCCTGTCTCTACAAAAAATAGCCAGGCATAGTAGCATGTACTTGTAGTTCTAGCTACTCAGGAGGCTGAGGTGGGAGGATCGCTTCAGCCTGGGAGGTTGAGGCTGCAGTGAGTTGTGATCACGCTACCGCACTGCAGAGAGGGCCACGGAGCAAGACCCTCTCTCTCTCAAAAAAAAGAAAGGGTTAAAAGTATGTCTTCTTTTTAAAAAATAGAAGGCCAATATAGATATAACAGAAATTTTCATATTGTCAGATTCTTTTCTGTACTCAGCCCTAACAAAACATGCTGTCTTCAACTTTACTTAGTTGAAGACAACTTTAGTTGAAGACAGAAAAGGTTCTAATTTGGGTTCCCTTTATCCAAGGAGTCTCCACTTTTGCTGTGTATTGTTCAAACTGAAAAGAGACTTTGTATTTAATCTCAGATGTCATTAAGTACTTGAAATAAATTAGATTTCTAGTTAAATTAAGAGCTGCTTCAGGTTCTTAATTAGTAGTACATTCAATAGTCAGGAATACACACCGTTGTTGTTGAGACGAAGTTTCGCTCTTGTTGCCCAGGCTGGAGTGCAGTGGCATGAACAAGGCTCACAGCAGCCTCGACCTTTCAGGCTCAAGGGATCCTCCCACCTCAGCCTGAAGTTTCTGGGACCACAGGTGTGTGGCCATACGCCTGGCTCATTTTTAGTTTTTTGTAGAGACGGGGGTCTTGCCATATTATCTGGATGGGTCCGGAACTCCTGGGCTCAAGTAATCTGCTGGCCTCAGCCTTCTAAAGTGCTGGGATTAAAGGCATGAGCCACCGTGCCCTGCTTGTCTTCTTTTTCAAGTTGGTCAGTTCTCCTTGCAATGAATGCCTTTCCCCTTAAATTTGAAAACCTGAGGAATTACTGACATAGAAAATTTCCATTTCTTTCTCTCTCTCTCTCTTTTTTTTTTTCCTGAGATGGAGTCTCACTCTGTCACCCAGGCTGAAGTGCAGTGGCTCGATCTCAGCTCACTGCCACCTCGGCCTCCTGGGTTCAAGCGATTCTCCTTCCTCAGTCTTCCGAGTAGCTGGGACTACAGGTGCCCACCACCATGCCCAGCTAATTTTTGTATTTTTTAGTAGAAACAGGGTTTCACCATATTGGCCAGGCTGATCTCGAACTCCTGACCTCAGGTGATCCACCCGCCTCGGCCTCCCAAAGTGCTGGGATTATAGACTATCAGCCACCGCGCCCGGCCTGTCCATGGATTTTTTAAAAAATGTGCTTTGAGCAATCTAAAACGAAAGCAGTCTGCCTAAAATTTATATTCATATATTTTTACTATATTACAGATATTGATTTTGTGGAGCTATGATTTCATAAGATATTTTAACAGTAATGAAACATTTTATAATTTTGTATATTGTTATTTTCTAAAAAGTTTAGTTATTTAAGTGCAAATACAAAGGACAGGAGTGATCATATTGAAGCACTAGGAGAAGACTGTGGGTAAAAATTCAACCTCAAATATGCAAATATTTAACTTCCTATGTGGAAATAATGTCGTTTTACAAAAGAAAAATGAACATATTTGTTTGCAAGGTGTTCTTATACACACACACACACATATACACACACACACGTGCGTGCCTTTAGAAATGGTAACCAGGCCGGGTGCAGCGGCTCACGCCCGTAATCCTAGCACTTTGGGAGGCCAAGGTGGGTGGATCACCTGAGGTTAGGAGTTTGAGACCAGCCTGGCCAACATTGTGAAACCCTGTCTCTACTAAAAATACAGAAATCAGCTGGGTGTGGTGGCATGCACCTGTAATCCCAGCTACTCGGGAGGCTGAGACAGGAAATTGCTTGAACCTGGGAGGCGGAGGTTGCAGTGAGCCTAGATTGCACCATTCTACTCCAGCCTGGGCCACAGAGCAAGATTCTATCTCAAAAAAAAAAAAAAAAAAAAAAGAATATGGTAACCAATCTATATTCTTTTTAGGTGATCTTTGAAAAACAAAAGCAAAGCAAATCTATCTGCAAACACATCTAGGTGGGGCAAGAGTGTGTGAAAATGGGACATTAATTAAGACTGATTGATGGAATAAGTGATGTAGAAAGCAGACAAAGTCCCTTCCACAATTTTGATGAAAGTTCTTTCAATTTGTCTCATCACTCAGCTTAATAAGAAATAAAATCGAAAATAATTTACATTGTCCTACTATTTACATTTTACTAACTCCGTATCTGTAGAGGTATAAGGGATTTTTAGAAGAGAAACAAGGTTGAGACTTTTAAATGTGAATTTGGATAAAAGATGAATCTTCAAAAGTATTGATAATTTTGGAAAATAATTTTTAAGAAAGGCATGACAGCCAGTGATTATCTAGTTAGGCAATTTGTTGCCAGGGATTGTGAAGCTTTACTATAAAAACTGTAGGATGAACAATAAATCCTTGATGCTGAGATTTTATTTGTCTTCTTTTTTAATAGGTGGACATTATACCACTGATTACCAAAGCAGACACAATTTCTAAACATGATTTACAGATGTTTAAGAGTAAGATAATGAGTGAATTGATTAGCAGTGGCATCCAGATTTATCAGCTCCCAACAGATGAAGAAACTGCTGCTCAAGCAAACTCCTCAATTAATGTAAGTTTCAGTAACAATATCTGACAAAGAGGCTATAAATGAGTGTTTATTTTATCCAGAATCTAGTGTGAGAATTTTTACATTTTCTTCATTTTGAAAAGTGTCTGCTGAGAATTGATTCTTTGTAAGCAGATTTATTTAGATTTAATTCAAACACCGTGTTCCTCAAGGATACTGGCCTATAATTTTCTTCTTGGAAGTATATTTTCTTGCTTTGATATCAAGGGGATGCTGCCTCATAAAATGACTCTGAAGGTGTTACCTCTTTTTTCTATTTTTTCAAAGAATTTGAGGATGTTTATATTAAAATTTCTTTGAGTGTTTGGTAGAATTTACCCATGAAGTAATCTGGTCCTACGCTATATTTTGGAGTTTTGAAAAATTACTTCTTTAGGTTCTCTATTTGTTATTGGTCTCTTTAAGCTCTCTATTTATTCTCCATTCAGTCTTGGTAGGTTATATGTTTCTAGTCATTTCACATTTCTTCCAAGTTGTCAAATTGGTTGATTTATAATTGTTCATGATAGTCCCTTATAATTCTGTTTATTTCTGTAAGAAATAAATTTCTGTAATAAGTTGTAATATCTTCTCTTTCATTTCTTATTTTATTAACATGTTCTCTATTTTGCCCTTAGTCAAAGTAAGGGCTTTGATTTTGATTATTTTTCCCCAAAATCAACTCTTAGCTTAATTGATTAATGTTTTGTTTTATTTTTTGAGACAGAGTCTCACTCTGTTGCCCAGGCTGTAGTGCAGTGGCACAATCTTGGCTCACTGTAACCTCCATCTCCCGGATTCAAGCGATTCTCCTGCTTCAGCCTCCTGAGTAGCTGGGATTACAGGAGCGTACAACCACGCCTGGCTAATTTTTGTATTTTTAGTTCAGACAGGGTTTCACCATGTTGGCTGGGCTGGTCTCGAACTCCTGGCCTCAAGAGATCTCCCAGGATTACAGGCGTGAGCCACCGTGCCTGGCCGATTAAAACTTTTTAAATTCTCTATTTCATTTATTTATGCTCTAATCTTTATTATTTCTTTCCTTCTGCGAATTTTTTTTTTTTTTTTTTGGTGTAAGGTTAGGTTGTTTATTTGAGATCTTTTTGGTTTTTTTTGAGACAGAGGCTCCCTCTGTCGCCCAGGCTGGAGTGCAGTGATGCAATCTTGGCTCACTGCAATCTCCACCTGCCAGGTTCAAGCAATTCTCCTCCCTCAGCCTCCCGAGTAGCTGGGACAACAGGCATGTACCACCATACCCAGCTAATATTTTTTGTATTTTTGGTAGAGACGGTGTTTCACCATGTTAGCCAGGCTGGTCTTGAACTCCTGACCTCAGGCAATCCACCTGCCTCGGCCTCCCAAAGTGCTGGAATTACAGGCATGAGCCACCATGCACAGGCGAGATCTTTTTTTAAGAGATGTAGGTGTTTACTACTATAAACTTCTTTTGTTTTTTATTTTAGATTCAGAGGGTGTAAGTGCGTATTTGTCAAATAGATATATTGCATAATGGTGAGGTTTGGCTTCTAGTGTAACTATCCTGAGATAGTAAACTTTGTACCCAACAGATCTTTTTTTTTTTTTTTTTTTGAGACATGGTCTCACTCTGTTGTCCCAGCTGGTGTGTAGTGCCGTGATCACATCTCATTACCAGTAGATAATTTTTGACCATCAACCTCCTTCCAATCTCTGCCTTTTGGAGTCTTGTTATCTGTTGTTTCCATCTTTATGTCCTTGTGTACTCATTGTTTAACTCCTGCTTATGAGAACATGTGGTACTTGATTTTCTGTTTCTGAGTGATTTCACTTAGGATTATGGCCCCCAACTCCATCCATGTTACTGCACAGAGCATGATTTCTTTTTTTTATGGCTGCATAGTATTTCATGGTGTAGATGCACTACATTTAAAAATTCCAGTCAACTGTTAATGGACATTTAGGTTAATTCCATGACTTTACTATTATAAGTAGGAATGTAATACACATATGAGTGAAAGTGACTTTTGTATATAAGGTTTACTTTCAGGTAGATGCCTAGTATAATCACTGGGTCGAATGGTAGCTCTATTTTTAGTGCTTTGAGAAATCTCTATATTGTTTTCATAGAGTTTGTGCTAATTTATGGTCCACCAACAGTGAATAAGCATTCATTATTCTCTGCATCCACACCAACATCTGTTGTGTTTGCAGTAATAGCCATTCTGACTATGTAAGATGATATTGTGTGTGCGTGTGTGTGTGTGTGTGTGTGTTTGAGTGTTTGAGAGAGTCTCGCTCTGTCACTCAGGCTGGAGTGCAGTGAAATGATTTCAGCTCATTGCAACCTCCGCCTCCTGGGTTCAAGCGATTCTCCTGCCTCAGCTTCCGGGGTAGCTGGGATTACAGGTGCTCACAACCAAGCCCAGCTAATTTTTGTGTTTTTAGTAGAGTTGGGGTTTAACCTTATTGGTCAGGCTGTTCTGAAACTCCTGACCTCAGGTGATCCACTCGCCTTGGCCTCCCAAAGTGCTGGGATTACAGGTGTGAACCACTGTGCCCAGCCTTTATTGTGGCTTTAATTTGCATTTCTCTGATGATTGGTGATGTTGAGCAAGTTTTCATATGTTTGGTGGCCACTTGTATGTCTTCTTTTGAGAAATGTCTGTTCATATCCTTTGTGGTCTTTTTATTTTTTTTTATTTTATTTTATTTTTTTGAGACGGAGTCTCACGCTGTTGCCCAGGCTGGAGTGCAGTGGCGCGATCTCGGCTCACTGCAAGCTCCGCCTCCCGGGTTCCCGCCATTCTCCTGCCTCAGCCTCCTGAGTAGCTGGGACTACAGGCGCCCGCCACCGCGCCCGGCTAATTTTTTGTATTTTTAGTAGAGACGGGGTTTCACTGTGGTCTCGATCTCCTGACCTTGTGATCCGCCCGCCTCGGCCTCCCAAAGTGCTGGGATTACAGGCTTGAGCCACCGCGCCCGGCCCCTTTGTGGTCTTTTTAATGGGGTTGTTTATTCTTGGCTGTTGTTGAGTTGTTGGTGTTCTTTGTAGATTCTGTGTATTAGTCCTTTTTCAGATGCAAAGTTTGCAAATATTTTGTTTCTATTGTGTAGATTGTCTGTTTACTCTGTTGATCATTTCTTTTGCTGCGCTCTTTAGTTTCAGTCCCATTTGTGTATATTTGGTTTTGTTGCATATGCTTTTCAGGACTAATTTATGAATTATTTGCCTAGGCCAATATCTAGAAGAGTTTTTCCTACATTTTCTTCTAGGATTTTTATAGCATCTGGTGTTTCATTTAAGTCATTAATGCATCTTGGGTTAAAGTTTGCATATGGTAAGAGATGGGGATTCAGTTTCATTCTTTTGCCTATGGGTAGCCAATTTTCCCAGCACGATTTATTAAATAGAATGCCCTTTCCCCATTGTTTATTTTTGCCAACTTTGTCAAAGATCACTTGTATGTAGGCATGTGGCTTTATTACTGGTTCTTTATTCTCTTTTCTTTCACAATTTTTTCTCCCTTTTTTAGCTGTATCCTTCCTAGCAACGGACTGTTTATTCTGTTCTATTAATCAGTCCGTTTTTGTACCAATGCCATACTGGTTTATTTAGTATTGCATTATAGTATAATTTGAAGTCAGACACATGGTGCCTCTGGCTTAGTTCTTTTTGCTTAGGATTACTTTGGCTATTTAGATGCATTTTTGGTTCCATATGATATTTAGGATCATTTTTTTCTAATCCTGTAAAAAATGTTATTGGTAATTTGATAGGCATTGTGGTGAATGTTTAGGTTGCTTTAGTTAATATGGTCTCGGTAATGTTATTGATTCTTCCAATCGAAAAATTCCATAAATTTTTGGAATAGTTTCAGTAAGATTGATACCAGCTCTTCATTGTACTTCTGGCAAAATTTGGCTGTAAACCCATTTGTTCTTGTTTTTTTTTTTTGTTTGTTTGTTTGAAATTATTTTATTACTGAATCTATTTCATTACTTGTTATTGGGCTATTTAGGATATCTATTTTTTTCCTGGTTCAGTCTTAAGAGGTTGTATGTTTCCAGGAATTTATCCATTTTCTTTCTTTCTTTTTTTTTTTTAAGGAATATAAAACCATTATTGACAGCTGTTCACCAGTATTTACAATAAGGTAAACAACATACATTGGATAACATTCTTGTTACCACAAAGTTGTTTATCCTGGCTTTTACTAAACCAGTAAAGCAAATGCTGAAAAGATTGAGTCTACATGTAAGGAATGAGTTGGGGTAAAGAAAAACATGTATGTCTTTTAGTTTACTTTTGTAATTTAAGCCATGAAGAGGCTTTTTTTTTTTTTTTTTTTTTTTTTTGAGACAGAGTCTCGCTCTGTTGTCCAGACTGGAGAGCAGTGGTGCCATCTCAGCTCACTGAAATATCTGCCTCCCGGGTTCAAACAATTCTCTAGAAGAGGCCATTTTTTATTGCAGACTTGAAGAGCTATTATTCACTGGCTCCAAGCTGCTCTGGGTTGAAGGTCTGCGGCATCTCGCCCTGTGTGCCTCCAGCTCGAGCCACATCTGAGCAGGGAGGGATAAATGTAACGATTTTATCTAGGTTTTCTAGTTTGTATGCATAGAGATATTTATTAGTTTCTGATGATCTTTTGTTTTCTGTGGTATCAGTTGTAATGTCAATTTTATCACTTCTGATTGTGCTTGTGCTTACTTGAATCTTCTCTCTTTTTTCCTGGTTAATCTAGCACCACATCAATTTTCTTTCTTTTCTTTTCTTTTTTTTCTCTGAGACAGAGTTTCACTTTGTTGTCCAGGCTGGGTGCACTGGCATGATCTTGACTCACTACAACCTCTGCCTCCCAGGTTTGAGCAATTCTCATGCCTCAGCCTCCTGAAGCTGGGATTACAGACACCTGCCCCCATGTCCGGCTGATTTTTTGTATTTTAGTAGAGACAGGGTTTCCCCATCTTGCCCAGGCTGGTCTTGAACTTCCTGAGCTCAGGCGATTCACCTGTCTCATCCT